GCCCTTCAGGGTGCTGGGAATGGAATTTGAAACACGTGAGATTACAAACTCATGAGGTGCTGGGCTGACTAATTTAGCCATGTAGGCTGGCACCGTGCCGGTTAGGTCTGGAAAAAGTAGGCCAATGTTAGTTACACAGCAAGTAAGTTTAGTCTTCTGGTGAGATGTTGGAAAGCTTGTGACATAGAAGAAATCTAGTTGGGTGTAATGGAAAAATCTTTCTGCCCTCTGCTTTTAAAAGACACCGAATGTTACCGCTTCCTTTCTGGGTCTCGTTGCCTCTGAAAGGGAATGATCAAGGGCAAGTGGCCCTTTCTTTCTCCCTGGCCCTCCTGGGGACTGAAGTTTGTTTTGCAGTTGGTCTGTTTGAAACAGATAACGACCTTTATTTGTGAAATTGCAAATTTAGTGTCTACACAACATTGAATAAGTGCTGTAGGAAGATAAATTACAGCAGGAACATTTGACATCATCTTTTCCTTTCCACGGTATAAAACCAGAGTCTGAGCCCTGGCATGGTGCTGGGTGGTAATCCCAGCACTTGGGAGGTAGAGGCCAGAGGATCAGAACCTCAGAGTCATCTTCAGTGACATGGCGAGGCTTAGACCCTATAAAGTCAAGTAAAGTAATATAATATACAAGATAAAATGAAAGAAGGGAGATCAGGCTCTTTTAAAGGATTGGTGGCAGGAATGCCTTTCACAGGCTGTGGGAAAACAGAATTCATGGGAAGGGAAGAAACGAATTAAGCACCAGTCTCCAGTCCCTTTCTTTTTCTGCCCTCTGGTGGACACTGCTGAACAGACAGTTCAACAAATGGTCCCTACGGAGCATGGTGAAGAGGGCTAAGCCATTCCATGGATTCTCTTAGATTCAGGATATGAACTAATGTTTATATTAAACTACTCCACAGGGAAGGTAAGTTTTCATATGGAAGTATCCTCCCCCACTGTTTATCCAAACCTTCAATGGGTTTTATGGCGATTCATTTCTTTTGTTGTTTTGCTTTTCTCTGTATTGATTTTAGTTGTTGTTTTCCTTTCTTATTGATAGGATCTCATTACATAGCTCCTGTGGTAGCCTAGAACTCATTATATAGATCAGGTTGGCCTTGAACTCATAGAGATCTGTCTGCCTCTGTCTGCCTCCTGAGTGCTGGGATGAAAGGCATGCCACACCCTGACTGGCTGGTTTTATTTTTCGAGAAACCCTTGCTGTGTAGCTCGGGCTGGCAGAAAACTTGATTTTTTTCCTGCCTCAGTCTCTCAACTATTAGAATTAGCAAGTGTGCATGAGGAGACTCCGTTTATTCTCCTTTGTGATATAATGGCAGTAGCTTTCCCTTCGATTTTCTGAACACAAAAACATTATATCACTTAATGTTATAATCACAAGCCACCTCCTGTTAAGTGTCATTAAGACTCCACAGTCCTTGCTCCCATTGTCCCAGGTCACTCTGGACTGAGTCAACACAACCATCCACCTCTGTGTTCCCTGCCCCCTTTCCACTCTTATCCCCTCCTCCCCCATGAACATGAGCTTTCATTCATTACCAACCTGCGCTAGCTATAGTGACTCAAGGCAGACAGTGGTGGAAAAGGCACAAGCTAACATAGCTACCATCTTGAAATAGAAAACACTGGTCATGGCCTTCCTACAATACAGCCCACCATTCTCTTTATGGGATGTTTCTCACGGTCAGACCCTCCTTGGATGTAGTGTCTCCTGTCTACTGCCCCCCTTCTGCTAATAGGCCACCTGGTAGCACCCACATTACTGTTAATGGCTTAGGATGAGTGAGCACTTTTGTTCTTTTCTTCCCGCCCCAAGCTAGGCTGTAGCTTTACCTCTTTGGGAAGCTCCCTGGTTTCCATCATCAATACAGCCAGCCAACAGAAATGTTGAGATTGTGTTTCCGTGTCAAATTGGGTTGCCTGCTCTCAAGTACGATCAGCTAGAGCTAACCAGGAGTCTTTGTTATACACTTGTTGGCTTTAAGCATGGCACTACTATCCTAGACCTCTCCTAAGATTTCCTGCCCTCTGTTTTCATCTCCCTCCACCCAAGAATTACTGCACTCTGTGGATGCTGAAGAAAACTAGCTCCTGAGAGTGGAGCTCAGGTGAGCTCAGGTGTTCAAATACTTAGATGGAATATTTGTGCTCCTGTGACCAGTTTTGGAAGCAGGGGCCTTGAATTGTCTGCCTCAGAGCATCTATTTCCCCCTTTCATAGCTAGCACCCCAGTTCCTGTGGAAATCTATGTGGTCTCTGGGAGGTTAAAGAGTATATTGTTTATCCCCAGCCACAAGTGTGATAGTTAATATCTGTCTACATCTATAAACATTGTTTTTTATAAATAACATTACCACTAGTATTCTTACTTGGCCTGGTGTTCCAAACCCCTAATCCAAGCTAGTTAGGAGGCCAAGGCAAGAGGACCTCAAGTTCAAAGCCAGCCTGAGCAACTTAAGGAGAATATGTCTCAAATTAAAAGGAAAGGGGAGGGGGAGGGCTGGGATATAGCGCCATTGTACTGTGCTTGCCAAGCACGCAGGCAGACTCTATGAAAAAGCCTGAGCAACATAGATAGGCACATGTATGTCAGGCCTTTTCCTGAGAATTCTAGGCTTTCACACTAATAAAAGAATGGTGGAATTCAAACCACCCCTTCCCCTTTCTCCTGTGGGGTTAGGAGGAAGCTAAGTCTCAACACAACATATCTACCAGTTACAGACCTGATCTAGATCCCTGTGTCAAAGGCAGGGGGATCCACTAGCTTCCTATGGGACTGTTCTTTAGCATCTTCAGATGTAAATGAGGTTAGAGTACCCATCACACAGGGGTATGCAGAGCTGATGGAAACTAAGCATTTACAACAATGCCTGGAGCATAGTAAATCCAGGCAGCAGCAGCAGCAGTGGTGGTGGTGGTGTTATAGTGTGTGATAGAGCCTGGGGATAAGGTTGACAAGGAAGTAAAGGAAATGGCCCCAGAGCTCCAATGACCTCTGAAACCTTTGGATCAAACTGAGAAAGCAGTGTGACAAGCATCCTATCTCCAGACTTTCCAGTGACACAAACTTGGAAATACCTTTTATGATTTAAACCTATTTTGGTTGGGTTTTGGTTGTTTCCACGGAGGGAGGAATCCCTTCCTGCTTTAGCCTCTGAGTGATTTCTTTTTGCCAGAACCACAAAGCATAAAATGTTTATTCACACCCCTTCCCCCAGAAAATGGAGGTGCTGCCTCTCTCCAAGGAGTGCCAGTTTTCAGTGGCTCTAGGAAGCCCATTTCTACCCATCCATGGGGAACTTCCTCCAATACCCTCAAGGGGATTTATCCTTCTATGGCAGTCACCCAGATGATTTCTGGGTAGTTGTGAACACACATTTCACTGAAGAGGAAACAGGAATGAATTATAAGCAATGAGTAGATGATTTGCTTGAGGAAAATGCAAATTATAAACACATCTCATCTCAAAACCTCATCAACTGTGCAGTCAAGGGGTTCATAAACTGAACAGTTTACAGCTTACTGGCATCACGCAAAGATGAACATGTTACACAGCACTACCTCTACTGGCTCTGTCCTCAGATACTCACAGACATGCACCCTGGCAGACACAAGAATGTGTAGTGATGCACTGTGGGGAATAGCAAAGGGCAAGAAAATATCCACAGCACAAGACTAAAAAAATGATACAAATATTTACTTAATGAATTCCAAAGACAATGTGAAAGAACTACAGCTACATGCAGATGTGGACACTTTAAAATTATGGCTTTGGTAAGGATACTTGCAGGAAACCTACCAAATGTTACTTCATAGACATGTGATGATTATACATAGGGGCATGTCAAAGCTGGAAAGCAATAAAATGCTTTAAAAACCAAAAGGATAGTTATGGTTTGGAAGAAGAGGACACCATTCATAGAAGAGTATGAGAACTATAATTTTTTATATTCTAATTCAATAATATGAATGTTTGTGTTTTATCTTTACATTCCTTTGTGTGCATATTTTATTGTGATAAAATATATAACGTAAAGTTGGACATTCCACTTTTTTATTCCAATCATTTTATGGCTTGGTGCAATTAAATTCATCCATCTTTTTGTACAATCATCTCCCCTACCCCGCCCCGCCCCACCCCATCTCTAGCACTTTTTATCCCCAATTGTGCTTTAAGTTAATCAAGAAATCAATGTCGGGGGTGAAGAGATAACTCATCTGTTTAGAGCCTTTTGCTGAAGGCACAGGCATAGTGGCTCACATCTGTAACTCCGGTTTCAGGGTATCTGATGCCCTCTTCTGATCTCCAGGCATCACACGCACGCATGCACGCACACACAGACAAAACATTCATACGCGTCAAATAAATCTTTTAAAAAACCATGGCCAAGTTTTGACTCAGTTTTCTCTGAGCTTCGCCGTTTTAGCTCTTACGTCTTTGATACTTTTTAGTTTTCATTCTTCCGCATCACAAGAAATTTTTAAAAAAGATCCAGAAAGGACCCTCCCCGGTTTACAAAGGAAGATCTTGGAAGGGAGGGCAAATAACATTTGAAGTTCGACAGTCAGCTGCTGCAGGGAGCTAAAAGCAGCACCTGCATTTCTCAGTACAGACAGCTGTTCATAAACTAGCAAATAAACCTCCCGGAAGTCCAGGACTTCGGATCCGCAGGCAGCGGGCTCGGGTCCACCCATACGTACATCATCCGGGTCACGTCCCCGCCCACGAGGCCTGGGAGTTCTGAGTCCCTAAAACACTGGAGCAGGTCTCAGACAGTCGGGACAGTCGGGACAGTCGGGGCAGTCGGGGAGCAGCAAACCGTACGCCTCGGGACTCCGCTCCGCTGCCGAGTGTTATCCAGGCCTGGCTTTTTGCCATGCTCTCGTCCTAGAAACCCTCTGGTCCCGCCCCGGAAGAGGCGGAGTATAGAGGGCTAAGGCTCTGATTGGCTTCTCTGAACAGTGCGAGCTTGGCGCGAGTTTTGGCAGCCGGTGGTGGAGTCTGCAGCGGTAGGATGGCGGCGCGGAGAAGCTTGAGATACCTGGGATTCCCGGGGTAAGTGCTGTTATCCCGCACGCCGCCCCGGGGCTCAGCTTATCCCAGAGACTCGCCGACACGGCCGGGCCTCGGTTCCCACGGTTCGGGTCCTGCAGCCGCGGGGAAGGGATATAGTCCCAGGAGTCAAGCTGGGCTGGAGACTAGCGTTGCGTTGTGTGACAAACGAATATGTAAGGAATGACCTGGTTGGTGGTCATTGCTTTTTCTGCTTCCCAGACCCAGCTGCTTTCGTAGTAGACAACCGGGACCCTGGAGCCAAACCAGATCTCTAGCGAGTGTTTGGGATGGCCTAAATGCCTAAAGGACATACAGGGTGCGTCGGGCATCCTTTTTCTGTAAAGAGAGATGAAAGAATCTGAAAAGAGGTCGCTAAATTGTGCTCTGAAAGGTTGGTTCTAGGATCTCCTAGCGAAGGGTCTGCTGGGAGTATCTGGCGCGCATTCAAAGCCTGGTAGGGATCTGGGTAGGTAGGCCTTCCGTGGGAAGATTGCCTATGGAAAATGGTGTTTGTAGGTACTACAAGACACAGATGGTGGTGGAAGCCCACACTCGGTGAGCAGTGGGAGGTTACAAGTCAGCTGACTAGGGAAGTGTTCAAGACTTGATCTGCTAAGCCACTGGTTTTGTTTCAGCATACTGAGGCTTGCGGCTTGTGAAATCTCATCATTCACTCCCAGAACACTGACACACTGGCACATACAGCAGAGATTATGTATATGCTTATCTTAGAGATTTCCATCGTTTGTAAGTTACTCTAGGATTCCAGTCCAAAGCCAGGACTGTGTTTTTTTGGAGCACAGACAGAAAGGCGGAAAGAAATTAGGCTAAGCAGAGTGTGCCACCTGATTTTCATAACTACTTCTGTCATGTGGGTCGATCAGAAGTTACCTAAGTTTTCTGAACCTCAGAATTACAGTCTGTAGTTATCACAACGCAAATGTTCTATAGGTCTGAGAATTAATGCTTGGAATTGGTTAGAAATGGGAAATCTTAGCCTCAGCCCAGAGTTTCTGTGGTATCAAATGCTGGGGGTGTGGTGACTTCAGGCAACTTGTTTTTTAAACAAGCCACTTAGGCAAAGCAGCAATGTTTAGTCCCCCTACTTCAGTTCTGGAGATGAAACCTAGGGCCCATGTGTGCTGGACAAGTGAACCATTGGCCTGCACCCCCAGCCGGAGCCTTTTAGGTGGCTCTGAAATCAGTTAGTTTGAGAACCAGTGTGTGAGGTGTTAGAGTACAGTGGGTACCCATGCAGATGCGCAGACAAGTTCTGAGGAAATTCTATACTGGGCACAGCACTTTGATAGCATTTTATTGTGACTCACAGGAAGACATACCTTTTATGTTGTGACCTAATGCACACTGTTGAGATGGTTCCCAAAGGGGGTGTGTCTTGAGCACCTCTCCCCCCAGTCTGCTCTCGCAGATGAGCACTGATGAGGAAGATAATTTGGAAAGGATTGCCTGGGAAGGCTCACAGCTTATAGTGCTTTCCCCAATTACTGAAACATTTTCTGACTCCCGCTTTTGACTTTGTTGTCTATGTTTTAATAGCGCAAAACATTCAAAGAACACTCTGGGAAGAACACATTCCAGGAAACACGTAAGTAGTCCTTGTTAATGTGATTTTTTTTTTTTAAACCATTGGAAAAAAAAAACTATCATTTTATGGGAAGCACATTTTTGTAGACTTCTCTTGACAAACTCTTTTTATGATAGCTTTAAAAAGTACTTTATCAGCTGGAGGTGGTGGTGCACACCTTTAATCCCAGCACTTCGGAGACAGAGGCAGGAGGATCTCTGAGTTTGAGGCTAGCCTGGTCTACAAAGTGAGTTCCGGGCTACACAAAGAAACCTTGTCTTGAAAAAGAAAAAAATGCTTCATCTGATATGGTGGAGAAAAGGAACTTCATCAATACTTCAGAACCATCTTGTTTTTTTGAGCCTAGACTGACATTTATTTTATTCAGATATTTGACATCATGTAAAGTTGCATAAGGTTCTGTACTGCCATTTTTCATTTAGAGTAATTTCTCCCTGATACAGATTTTAATGGCTGTGTGTGGGTTTCTGGTATTCCTCTTGATTCATAGTATAGTTTTATTTTTCTTCAGGAAGGGCATGTTAAAGGCAGGCACATTTGTTTAACATACCTGATTGCTAATTCCAAACTATCTGTTGCCATTTCAAAATACTGTGATGAAGGTGCTTGCTTTTTGAGAGTAGGGCTAGCTCTTAGAGCACTTCTGGCCTTCCCTCTGTCTCTGGCTTTCTCATCTTAAGCAGCTCCCTGCCCTGCTGCCCTGACCCTAGCCTTCAATGTGGTGAATCCCTAGCGACCTCTGGGGGATCTTGCTCAGCTCTTGCCCAGCACTGCTCAGAGAAGCTGAAGTCCACTGTGGCCTGGAGTGGGGTGGAGAGGGGGAATGGTTCTTTACTCACTTTAGCCCCCTTTCCAGCCTTTCCTATTGGGAATCAGTGTGTAGAATGGATTTTCTGGGCCTCCTCCAGGTCCTCCCAGTGGGAGGTAGTAACCTTGTATGTGATGGAGGCTTCTTTGGCTTGAAAGCAAATTGGCCGTTTCTTGGTTTCTTGGCATTTCTCCATACAACACCTGAATGAGGCTTTTCCCCTTTCCCCGAGGCTTGGAGTTTTCTCTGCCCATGTTATTGTATATCTTTATATCTTCCAAACTTTTCTTCCCTGTAATAATAATATCTCTTGTATTTTGTAAGCTGTCACAGAAGATTATCTCATTTTGGTCTTTCATGGGGATTAGAGTTTAATCTGTGTGTTGAACTAGATTGAACTGTAAGCCCTGCTCTCTGTCCTGTAAGGAAGGCAGCTTTACTCTGGGTGCTGTCAAACTGCTTTCTCTGGGGAGGGGATCATAGTATCCCTTATATCAAGGATTTAGGTAAATGATGCCTGTAGCCAAAGGTAGCCTGCCATTTGTTTTTGTACAGCCTTGTGAACGAAGAATGGTTTTTGTTTGTTATATTTTAAAAGGATATAAATAAGGTGGATGATGGCTCACACCTATTTATAATCCTAGCACTTAGGAGGACTCCTGTGAGTTGAGATAAAGGCCGGCCTGAAATACACAGTGAAACCCTGTCTCCAAAGAAGTAAAGGTCAGCTAGAATGAAAATGTCTCAGACCTGTGAAAAGGGTAGGAAATTTTAGTGCCTAGAAGTCAAGTTCTTTTGAAGCACAGCCATGTTTATCCCTTTCTAGCCTGCTAATATCCGCTTCCATACATTATGGCTGTGCTGAGTAGTTGGTACAGAAGTCTAGTGGCCGATAGAACCTAGTGTCGACTCTCTGGTCTCCATAGAAATGTTTTAACCTTCCTTGTCTTGGATCATCAAAGTAGACTGAGGTTCAGAAAGCAGCGGGTGCTTCCATGGGCCGTAGGACTAGCTATAGGGTGCTCAGGAGATGAGTGTGGGAAAGTCTTGTCTCCATTTCAGTGATTGACCTTATTCACTTTTAGAAGGCTGGTCAAAGGCACAAGCCTAAAGATGTGTTTCGCTTTCCTGATAATTCTGATGTCTCAAGCATGCTGGGAGAAATGGAGGAAGAAGAGGAATCGTATGAGTCCTTCGGTTAGTATTCTACATTCCTATTCAGGGCTTGGGGATGGTGGTGCTTAGTTAACAGAAGAGCTGTGCAGTCATCCCCATTGTCTAATCCAGAGCATTGTTTTTGTCTAGAGAAACCTCCTGACACCAGTCAGCCCCTGTTCCCATCCTTTGGTCCTTGGACAATTTACTTCCAATCTCTATGGGTTTGTCTCTTCTGACATTTCGGATAAATAGAATCATAGAATATATATCCTGCTCTGGTGAGCCTTTTTGAATTAGTGTCACATCTTCAAGATTGTGTATTTACTTCATCCTTAAATTTTATGGCTCAATAATGCTCTGTTGGCTTTGGTTTCTCTTTTTCTTGAACATTCATGGTCAAGGGTGTGTGGGTGTATGCACACACCGTGCACCTGTTCAGTTTTCTGAGGCATACATACCCCTGGGACAAGAACTGTTGCATTTATAGCAACTCTGGTATTAGCATTCTGACTTATTTATTCTAGCCAGTCTAGTGGGCATAAAATAATGTCTCATTGTGGTGTTGTGTGTATAGAGGGTTGATCTGTGACAATAAGTTCTACTATTTTAACCAGTTTTAAACATGCAGGTCCATTCACACTGCTGAGTAGCTATCTCACCGTTCATCTCTCAATCTCCTTAACTCAGATTCTCTGTAGCCATCAAGCAGCTCTCTGTTATCCCAGCCCCTGGCAACCGCTCTGTGAATTAAGCGATTCTAGGAGCCTCATGTAAGAGGAAGGTACATGCTTGCTTGCTTGCTGTTTTTGTCAGGATTACTATTGCTGCGATGCCCCATAGCCTGAGTAAGGTGGGAAGGAAAGGTTTATTTGGTTTACACTTCTTATCACTGTCCATCATCAAAGGAAGTCAGGACAGGAACTTATAGGACAGAAACTTAGAGGCAGGAGCTGATGCAGAGGCCATGGAAGAGTACTGCTTACTGGCTTGCTCCTCATGGAGCTTGCTTTCTTATAGAGCCCCGGACACCAGTCCAGGGATGGCCCCACCCACAATGGACTGGGATTTCCCCCATCAGTTACTAATTAAGAAAATGCCTTACAGGCCTGCCTGCTGCCTGATCTTAAGTAAGAGAGATTTTTCTTAATTGAAGTTCCCTCCTCTCTGATGTCTTTAGCTCTTGTAAACAATCCAGCACACTAGTCCTCTGTAACTGGCTGATTTCATTCAGCTTATTGCCTTTTGGTTCATTACTCTCACCATGTTTCCAAAGTGCTTTTTGTCCTGTTATGTATGTGTTGCTGGGGACGGGCCCAGGATCTCGAATACAGTACAGGACTGACTTTGTAAACCCGATTCCAGCTGGATGTGCTAGCATGCTGTCGTCATAGTCTTTGGGAGTTGGAGGCAGTAAAATCAAAAGTTGGAAGTCACAGCCTGGGCCACATGAAGCCTGGTCTCAGCACAGCAGCAACAGGAAGCAGACTTTGTCATCCACTCATCTGTCAATGGAGATTTGGTGTGCAGATGCCTCTGAGTCTCTGTTTTCACTTTTGTGCAGGGTACCCACAAGTAGGACCACTGGGATGTGTGTCGGCCATACCAGTTGTATGTAGGGTTGTATGTATGAGGATTCCTCAATACTGTTTCCCACAGTGGCTGCCACAGTTTGTATCTTACCATCAGTGTGTGTGGTAGACTTGCTTTCTCTTTCTTTCTTTCATTCTTGTTCTCTTTCCTCTTTCCCTGGTTATATTTATCTAAGGGATGTGCAATGTATCTAATGGCTGTATGTGCTTTTCCATAGTGGTGAAAAATTCTTCTGGGTGAGCTCTTGATCAGTTGTAAATCATGAGTGAAGCTGACTGCCTTTGGAAGTTCAGGATCAATTTATTTGTCTTTGTGCATCCACTGATGACCCCCTCCACCCACATCTGTAGAAAAAACAAACACGACTGCGTAGTCAAGGGCATCATGGAATATATTATCAACCTTAAAACATGTGGTTGACATGTTCACTATTTAAGCTGCTATTTATTTTGTGAAGAAAGTTTTTAAGTTTGTACATCATGCTAACATTTGAACATGAAAAAAAAAATGGTTGCTTGGCTTTTCTAGGCTTCCTTGCAGCAGTCAAGTCTGTCGGGACTGGTCACCTCCTTTGCTCCTTCAGATTTTCTGTCCCTGCCACATTACCCCCTCCCTCCCAGCAGGTAGGGACAGCCTTAGCATCACCCTTTCCCCCGCCTTCCGACTAAGGCCATGTTGTCGCCTCTATCTCCCTTCAGGCTCACTTGCTCTAGTGCAGAGGCTCACGGTGCAGGTGAACTGTCAGGGAAGGGGAGCGAGAGAGAACAGGCCCTCCCCAGTGCCCTCTAAGGGCTTGGCACTGTGTGAGTAATGGAGTCAGAGAGGGGCACCCCATAAACCTGAACAGTTACTAACGGAGGCCTTGGCTGCCCGGGTGTCCATACGACAATGCATAGTGGTCAGGAAAGACCACATTAGGCTTCTTCATGATTATCTTGTGTTATGAAATCATTTCTATTAATAGACATGAGGATATAGATATAGGATTTGAAAACATGTCTTTACTTTTATTATTATTATTAATCCTAGCACTCGGGAGGCAGAGAACTATAGATCTCTATAGTTCAAGGCCAGCCTAGTCTATAGAGCTAGTTCCAGGACAGACTCTTCAAAGCTACACAGAGAAACCCTGTCTTGAAAACCCAAAATAAATAAATACATAAAATAAGATAAATGTTAGGTTTATTTCACGAGAATGTTTTGCTTGCATGTATGTCTGTGCCATTTGCATGCTTGGTGGCCATGGAGGCCACAGGAGGGTATTGGGAGTCCTGGAATTGTAGTTACAGAAGGTTAAAAGCTGCTGCGTTGCAGGTCCTGGGAATCAAGTACAAGTCCTTGACAAGAGCAATAAGTGCTCTCAGTAACAGAGCCACCTCTCCAGTCCTTGAAAATGTGTTTTTATTGGCATTAAGGTTTGTGTTTTCTACTGAAGCATGAGATTGAAAGTTATCTGTGAAGTGGCTTGTGTAACAGACTTTGACTCTGTTGGCCATTTAAACAAAGATTTATTACATACCATTGTCAGGGAATATAACAGTTGCCCAGACAGCCAGCATTAAATTTGCTGTTTTGGCTTTGTAGACCCTCCTCTGCACAGTACTGCTATTGATGCCGAAGAGGAACTTTCCAAACACTGTGGGTCCTCAGCCTCTCCAGCCACTCACGGAAGAGAAGAGAGTAGACGGTATGGGTCCATCTCAAACAGTTAGGGTTTTTTGGTTCCTTTGTTTTATTTTGGGAGGGTTAGATTTACTTTTACTGTTTTTAATTATGTGTGTGGGTGTGTACAAGTGAGTGCAAGTGCCCAAGGAATCCAGAGGCATTGGATCCCCTGGTGCTGGCAACTCTTATACAGGAAAACATTTCATTGGGATGACAGCTTACAGTTCATATGGAGGTTCATTCCATATCATCATGGTGGGACATGGTGGTGTGCAGGCAAACATGGTGCTGGAGAGGTAGCTGATAGTTTTACATCTTGATATGCAAGCAACAGGAAGTGAACTGACTCACTGGGTGTGGCTTGAACATATCAAAGCCTACCACCACAGTGACATACTTCCTCTAACAAAACACACACACACACACACACACACACACAAGGGCTAGAGGATGACCCTGGATGTCTTCCTGTCACTTCCTACCTTACCTTTGTGAGACATAGTTTGCTGATGAACCTGAACCTCAGATTGGCTGGCCAGGAGCCCCCCGGGGTCCTCCCGTCTCCACCCCAGTCATCACTGGGATTATTGCCTGCTTTTACTGTGAGTGGGAGGGAGAGGGACATTTGAGAGACCAGTTTGCAAGCTGTTTTCATGGTTGGGGTGGGGAGGGATGAAGGGAAGTGGATGGGTTTGAGGCATAGTCGAGAAGCATACCAGTAGGTCTTGATGCTGGAGAAGAGTGGCCACCGAGGTAGCTCTGGGATTGCTTCGTGGTCACTAGATTAAAGGGTCAGTGATGCTGCTTCCAGAGGAAGGACTTGGGAAATAAGACAGAGTTTACAATAAGTGCCAAAGGAAGTTAGAGTGGAAGGAGGCCTGGAAAGAGCTTAGCATGTCCCTGGACCCCAAGAGGCCTCTGTGACGGACAGTTGTCCCCCTTCCCTCCACCCCTCCCTTCCATCTGCTTTGTCATGGAGAGGCCTTGCATCTGAGGCCAACTTTGCTGGATCCGATGCCTCTAGCTTTAGGTGTTGTTACGGAATCTTCCACTCCCCTCTCTGCCTGTGGCTACCTACCCAAGCCTCCAAATTAACACAGGGCCTTCTGTGTTCTACATACAGCAGCAGGTGGCCCAATGATGGCCCCAGTGACCATCCGAGGAGTTGGGACCAGTGGCTCAGGTGGAGTGCAGTTCTCAGACTTGATCTCATTGGTCCATGATTACTTGCCTAGGGAAAACTGACATGAGCAAGTGTGAGAATCTAGAAAAGTGACAGACCTGCCCATGGCAGCTAGGAAGCTCCTCACATCCCACTTGTTGTCATGCTGAAGCAATGTATGGAAAATGCTATGTACAAGATACTGATGGCTTGTTGTTTGGCAGTTTGAGCCCTTCTGAAAATGAAGCAAGTGGAAATGAGTCTACAAAGACCAGGGCAAAAAAGGTATGTGGGAGTGTTCTTTCTTCTATCTTTATTTGTAAGAAACTTCATATTTTAATTGGAGTAGATGTAAATAGAGAAAAATATCCTAAAGCAGTATTTCTTTTTTAAGAAATGTCTTAGAAATTTCTTTTATAATAAAGTAAGTTTTTAAAAATTGTATTCATTTATTTTGCATTTGTATGTATGTATGTGAGCATGTACATGTTACAGTGGACAGCTTCTTCACTTTTCTACCCTGTGGATCTCGGGTCGAACTCAGACCTAGTGGCAAGTGCTTTTCCCTGCTGTACTATGAGACTGGCCCAGGAATATTTTTATATCCTGAGTGTTAGGAAAGACTCTTCAGCTTTCTATTCATCCAGTCAGTTTCTGTAGCATTCTATGTATTTAGGTTGTGGTTTACAAAGGCAGAGAGGATTAGGTGGCTTTCTAATCATGCTGTCTTCTACATGACGTTTTAAATGAGAAATGGGAATTCCATAGTTCCCTGACACTGTAAGAATAGTAAGATTTGAGTTTTCTAAACTAGCAGTGCTGTTTGCTTCATAGCCACAGAGAAAGCTCGAGCCCATCAGCGATGAGTTTGAGAGCTCTGAAGATGATGTAAGGAGGAAAGTGGGGTCCACAGAGAGAACAAGTGCTCGGCAGCACCAGGCTCCTACAGCGTCTCCAGCACCCACCTTGAAGCCAGTCAAACACGTCACTCCTGAGAGGACAAGACCCCACAGCACTCAACCCTGCGCTGTAGAAGAGACTGGAACCGTACAAAGACAGCTGGTGAGCAGTGTTTGCCATCCGCCCCTCAGAGAAAAAGTTCATTGAAAAGACTAAGGAGGAGGGCTGGAGAGATGGCTCAGCTCTCTTCTTGAAGACTTCAGTTCAGTTCCCCGTACCTGTATCATGAGGCACAACTGCTTGTAGTCCAGCTCCAGGGGATCTGACACCTCTGACCTCTGTGCATCCATGTGCCATCCTCACCTCCCTGCCACACACACACCATGAAGAGATAATAAAAAGAAATCTAAGAAAAAGATTAAGGGGGAAATAGAAATTTTCTTTTAGCTGGGCAGTGGTGGCATACGCCTTTAATCCCAGCACTTGCTTGGTAGACAGAGGCAGGTGGCTCTCAGTGAATTTGAGGCCAGCCTGGTTTACAAAGTTCAGGACAGCTAGCACTGTTACACAGAGAAACCCTGTCTCAAAAAAAAAAAAAAAAAAAAAAACTTTTGATTTTAAAAATAAGTTTAGAGCTTTTATTATAGAAAGCAGTCTAGAAGATCTAGAAAGGAAGATACATTTATGTATAGTTCTGTAACCCAGAACATCTGCTTCCTGGTGTGTGTTCACAGTCCTTTCCACAGCACCCCTTTAACCAGTGTTTGCACTCTGTCCATGGGTACCTATAGTATCTATTGATGGAAATTGCAATTTTGATTCTTTGGTGAGTTTCTTTAATTATTTCTTTTATGTTAAGATTTTAATATGATCACATCATTTCTCCCTTTCTTTTCCTCCCTCCAAACCCTCCCATACAACCCTATTGCTCTTTTTCATATACATGGCCTCTTTTTTTTGATAATTGTCAGGGTGTGCGTGTGTGTCTGTGTGTGTGTCTGTGTGTGACTTAGTGCATAAGTACAACCTGCTCAGTGATGGATTTCTTTGTAGTAAAGTCTTCATATATGCCCTTGATTTGTTTCCTCCTGAAAAAAATGCTGTGGATCACAATTTGTTTTAAGGTAATTGAGCTGTAGTATCTTTTGGTTCATATTCTTATATATTGTTTTATTAACTCATTTGGTTGAATGTTTTAGATAAATAATTCTGCTTATTATTGGTACCAAAGATATACCCTCATGAATTATATATGTAACCACGAGTTTAATCATAGGTATTCTTATAAGAGAGATGGAGATTAGACATAGAGGGTTATGTGACAATGGGTGAAACAGTCCTGACACCAGCCATGGCCACCAGAAGCTGGAATGAACAAAGAATGCCCCCCTCCCACTTGCCGGAGGCAGGGGCTGGGGGCTGCCTGTATCTTGACTACATCGCCTCGGTTCCACAGGATATTCTCTATTAAGAGTGTTGTTCCCTTCCTGGGCATGATTGCAATTACTTCATCCTTTGTTTCCTAAACCATTGTCTGGATCCTCTTTGGGTCAGTTTCTCTTCTGTCTGATTTTGTCTTGACTCTGGGTCACATTTTCTTGTGTGTTCGTTTTAGTCTAGGACTCGAAATGTAGTCGATGTTGTTTAGGGATGTTGAGCTCTGCGTCCTGTCTTCCTGTGAGTGGCAATCCCAGCAGACTCTACCTGACATTTGTATGGTGTTTTGAAGTTAGAGGCTTGATTTTATCCTTTGCTAGCATGAGTGTGTAGAAAGCCTAGGACATCTACCAGTATCTAACTTAGTGGGACTCCGCCTCTCTCTTTGTTTATAATTGCCCACAACTAATTACCACAAAGTTAGTCACTTCTACATGGACGATTTATCATGTTATAGTTTCTGTAGGCTGGAGTCTAGCTTCAGGTTAGCTGGCTCCTCTGCTCAGGGTGGTAGAAGCCTGAAATCAAGGGCTGTCTAGGGACTGACATCTCAAGTGAGCCTTGGATTTCTCAGATTTCACTTCACTGAGACTGTAAAATGAAGGTCAATCCTTGCAGGTGCTATTATGTGACCCTTGAAGTACGGTGCTTGCACCTGCAGAGCCAGCCCCACACTCCAGGTTAAGACAATGTGTCTTACCCACACATACAGTCCAGGAAGCAGACCCTGGCCTGTTCACAGGTGCTGCTTGCATTTGGGAGGGAGGGAATTCTGCCTGCCAGTCATCTTGTAATCATTCTTACCACAACCATTGTGCTCTTGGTGGATCCCATCAGGAGTTGGCTTTAGGATTTGTCAGGAAGGTGGGCCTCACAAACTAGGGAGTTCCTCAGCATGTTTTCATTGCTGTCCTCTCTCAGACAGGTTCCCTTCAGCATTCCCACAGGTGTAGACTGTTCCACCCCAGCCTGTTGCTCTCATGTGCTGGAACCCCTTGGCCTAAGATAGTTCTTCAATCTTTCCTAAGAACTAAATAGGAACTATATAGTTAATATCAGTTGATGATTTGCTAATGTTGTTGTCTTAATCTTTAAACTATAGAGAAAAGAAGTTTTCCTAAATAGATATGCTATTTATCATCATCATCATCATCATCATCATCATTATTATTATTATTATTATCATTTTGGTAGAAAACTCGGAAGAAAGTGAGGCTGTCTCCCAGCAGAAGGAAGAAATCAAGAAGGGAAGCCACAGACTCAGGTACAGAACAGTGCTTTGTGCCTTGTCACTAGTATGGGGTGTCTCTAAAACTTCCTTTTTTTTAAGTTGTCTTAGTTGTTGAAAGGGAGGGTGTTGAGATAGTGTCTCTCTGGATGACCCCAGCTGGCCTTGAACTCACTATGTAGATCAGGCTGGCCTTGAACTCACTAATATCCATCTGCCTCTACTCCTCCAGAGTACTGAAGCTGAAGGCATACACTACCATCTTAGCTAAAACTGCCACTTGATTAAGAAATTATGACTTTGGAGTAGCATTTTTTTTATCATTTTATCATGAATTTTTAAAAAATGAGTACTATACATGTTAGTACTCCCCTCCTCCTTACTTGTCCAAAGTTCAGTTCCCAGAACCCGAATCAGGCAATTTACAACAGTTCCAGGGCATCTGTGCCTTCTTCTGGCCTTCATGGGTACCTGCATACACTCTCACAGACACATATACATGATAAAGATAAATCTTTAAAAAAGCTTTGTGTAGATGGAATTACATGTGGTAGTCTATTTGGAAATAGATTCATTCTGTTGAATCATGTCCTTGCTCATTACAGGGCTATTATAAATAAAGTCTGATGACCCACCCCATCCCTTTTCCCTTCCTTCCTTCCTTCCTTCCTTCCTTCCTTCCTTCCTTCCTTCCTTTCATTTTTTTATTCCTTGCAGTGGTAGGGATTGAGCTCCTGGCCTTGCCCATCCTAGGAAAGTACCTTGAACTACACCACAGCCTCCTTGTGAACTGCCTCCTGCCCCATGGACATTCTTAAACACAAATTTCATAAACATGTTTTTATTTCTCTTGGAGGAACAGACAGGAAGTTGTTGAGTCATAAGACAGATCTATCCCAATTTTACAAGTCATTGTGTATTTTAAAAGGGTACTAAGAATAGAACTGGTGATGTCATGTGAACATGTGTCATAGAGTTTACCATAGCTGAAAGGAGACCTCTCTCTGCAGCACATTGATGTGTAGACCTTCTCAGAAGGCGAGCCATAGTCACAGGAAGGAAGTGACAGCAGGCAGGTTTGTTAGACTCTGCCCTGCATCAGGAGAAAGGAGTATGGTTTTAGCTGTTTTACACCCTTATAGGACTACTTTTGTTCAGGATTCAGAGTCCTGGACCTAGAGCCAGATTGCAGATAATGAGTCTATTAAACTAACATGTGCTTAATATTCTAGATGCTTCTGAAAGTATGCATATTTGGTGTCTGGAAGGAAAGAGGTGTGGTGACATCATGGAGTTGGATGTTATTCTGTCTGCATTTGAGAAAATTTTCCTGGAGTATAAGTAAGTCCTCTGATGTTATAATGCATAGACCTGATCAGTTGTGCTCAGAGTACCACCACGGTGTTCTTCCTAGTTTTCAGATCATTACATTTTAGATGTCTACATTTTCATTGTAATCCTTCTACATACATTGGTTATGGTAGTTTCAAGTTATTGAATAATCTATTCTAGATGTTCCTCATAGACTTTAATCTAGAAATAAGTGCTTCCCCCAGTACTGTTAGTTTTTCTCAGTCAGAAAGTATATGCCAAGTATGGCCACACTCCAGTCCTGCCATCCCCCTGTGAAAGCAATTGTGGAGAAAGAGGCACAGCTGCACAGCCTCCATCACTCAAGGCAAAGAGCAGCTGCCACATCAGGGCTTCACTCCCCCACCCCTCTGCAGCAGGCTTTCTTTTGGGCCACCAACCAGCTCCCAGATCATGACACGGAGACTTCTTATTGGATATGAATGCTCGGTCTTACCTTATGCTTATCCCACTAGCTCTTATAATTTAAATTAACCTGTTTCTCTTCTTCTATGTTCTGCATTGGAGCTTTTTACCTTTCTTTTATTCTGTATGTCCTTTTCCATGTCTGGCTAGCTGGGGGCTGCCTGGCTGGCCCAGGGCCTCTCCCACATTTTCTCTCTTATTCTCTCTTCATTTTCCCTTTGAGCCCAGACTTCTCCTACTCTTTCTCTCTGCCTGCCAGCATCTACTGCCTGGCTATTAGACATTCAGTTTTTTATTAGGCCAGTCAGGTACCTTAGGCAGGCAAAGTAAAACAGCAACACATTTTTACATAGTTAAACAAATGCAGCATGAACAAATGTAACACATCTTTACATAGAGTAATACTCCACAGCACCCCTCTGAGCAGCATCAAGATAGGTACACACCTATCTCCTCCAGCCTGGGGTTTGCTGGGAAAAGTTGGAGAAACAGCTGAAACAATCAGGTCTTGTTCATTTTCCTCCAGCACAGGTCCAGTTTGGTTTTTTCCTGAAGAGAGTGATATAAAACAAAAATCTTTTAAAATGCAGCCTGGCAGAGTGGATCTGAGAGACATGGATTAGCTACACAGCTGTGAACGCATCTGGCTTTTCTGAGAATAAGACCCCCTGGGACAATAGTTAGTGAGTCAGAGATTAGGAGCCTCCCTGGGAACATGGAGTTGGCAAAATGCAGGTCTAGCAGTTTATGAGATGGGAGAGGGCAGAGGCTACATACTGGGAGGAAGGGGCTGTGGAGGCATGGGACTTCCTCAGTGCTGGGACGGCACGGGTTGTGGAGACTCTTAATGCTCCTGTGGGAGATTTGTCCAGTACTCGCCTTCTGAAAGAAGGGAAAGGCTGGCATGAAAATGTCTAGGAAGACAGGCTTACGTCCAAGGAGGAATGCCCCGTCCTGCTGTGAGCCACAGTGTTGGGCCCCACCACTGACATTGTTCTTGGACTTAGTAACCCTGACTAAGGATGTTTAAGGGTAGCTGTAAGGAGACAACGTGAAGTCCAGCAAACTGCTGTCTTCAGCTCATGGGTAGAGTCTAATGGACAGAATTTTTTCCACTGCTCTAGAAGAATGCTGGTGGACTCCAGAAACATCTGTGCCCCCTGTCATTTCCTTCCTGTTGCTGTGATAACATACCCTAAGAAGCAGCTCAGGAGGAAAGGGGCTGCATTTTAGATCAAGTTCCGGGTTGTGGTCCATCCTTGTGAGGGAATTAGCTGCAGGAACTTGAAGCACATCCACAGCCCAGAGCTGACAGAAGGAATGCAGACAAGCTTGCTAATTCAGCTGGCTTTCTCCACTTTATACAGCCTACACCTCCACCCATGACATGGCAATCCCCCCATTCAGGGTGGGTTTTCCCACCTCAATCACCTCTACAGGAAATATCCCTCACTGACATGCCCCCAACACGCTCTTCCTAGCTGATTCCAGATGGTGTGATTGACAAAACTAAGCATCCCATCGTGTCTACCCACCCTCCTCATCCCAGACTCTGTCCTCTGCCCTCTTACCTCATTAAGCTGTCAACTGTGGTGCTATCTCTTTACCCAGGAAACCCATCCTCCAGTGAGCAGAGAAATGCTTAGTCACCCTGCTTTAGCTGTCTTGATAGTGGTGAAGTATACAAGTCATTTCTTCTCCCTGCAGCAGATACTTTTATGAATATTGGTATATTTTAGTTCCTCCTAGTTCTTTCTGTTTAGATAGCCAAGAGTGCAATTGCTGGAGCACATGATATTTGTTCTACTTTTTTTGTAAATTGTCCCTAATGCTTTTCTGAGAACTATACACACACTTTATAGTTGTACTCTCAGTGACTGGGAAAACGGCCCAGTAGATAAGAGGGCTTGCTGTGCAAACATAAAGGACTCAAGTCTGGATCCCAGCATCCACATAAAAAGCTAGGTGTAGCTGTGCATGGCTGTAACTGCAGTGCTATGCAGTGTGGGGACAGGAGGGTAGCTGGGCTATCCTCCAGCCTAGGTCCTGGTTCAGTGGGAGACCCAGTCTTATAGGACTAAGGTGGAGAGTGCTAGAGCAGGGCCCCTGCTGTACTCTGTCCTCTGCAAAAGCACAGACTTGTTCCATTATCAGATACAGGCTTGCAGATGTTTTGTCGCATTCCATGGGTGGCGTGCCTTTTCATGCTTTGGCTGTGCATTTGCTGTTCAGAGGTACTTAGGTTAGGTGGATACAATTAGCCAAAACATACATGTGAAGAAATACATAACCCAAGTAGATCTGTATCTGCTTTTTATAGGAAATAGTTGCAAAATCCTCAACATAATATTAGTACATTGATTTCAACAATGTATTAAAAACAAATAAATACTACCACCAGGTAAGATTCATCCAAGAGATGCAAGTCTGATTCAGCTTTAGAAAGGAAAATAAATATTTACAGGCTAAAGATGAAAAGTTAAGTATTTGACAAAATCTAATACTCATTCGTGATTTTTTTTTTAAAAATTAAAGCTGGGAGGTAGTGGTACATGTCGCCTTTATTTCCAGCTCTCAGAAGGTAAAGGTAAGTGGATCTTTCTGAGTTTGAGGCCAGCCTGGCCCACAGAACGAGTTCCAGCACAGTCTCCAAAGCAACACAGAAAAACCTGTCTTGAAAAACATAAATAAATTAGGATAGAATGAGCTTCTTTAACTTGACAAAGAATTACCTACAAGGAGCTTTTTCATACTGACCATGGTGAACGAGAAAGGGTTTCCCATCAGCAGCAGGAACCAGGCAAGACTGTCCCGTCTCAGCAGTCAGTCTAACAGCTAGCACAGTACATAAGGGAAAGTACAGGGACTGCAAAAGAGCAATCCATTACATTGTGTGACCTAGTGGAATTTAAAATTAAAAACATAGCACCTCTTACATAAAGTAATGCCCCACCCCCACCCCCCCCAAAAAAACCCACTTAGATTAGAGCTGTGGGAAGAAAAGTACAGGACTGTGGTGGAAGAAACCAGAGTCAGTGCATAAATGCAGCAGTATTACTCATTTACAAATAAACTCAGTATGGTTGGAATGTCGGTTCTTCACAACTTCTAACATCAGGCAATTGCAAAATCTCAGCCAATTCTGCTGTGGCCATTAACTCACTGTCCATGCAGAAGAGAAGACTGAGGGTAGCTGGTGCCCTTGTTGGTGCTCACTAGGCAGCTGTGGTGCTCAGTGTGGTGTAGGGCTGTGAAGACCGTAGACAGAGCAGGGAGCCCGTATGCAGCCAACTAACTGTCAAAGGAGCAAAGAGTACAGTGGAGGCCACCAAAGACAAACAGTGCCTGCGTGCTGTACCCCTTAGTTCCAGAAACCAGTCTGGCCTGCATTTGCGTTCTAAGCCAGCCAAGGCTATGTGGTGAACGCCTGTCTCAAAAATTAAACGAAAACACAGGTGCTGCAGCAGTGGGACATCCATAAGCAACAGATACTGCCCAGATCAGATCACTGCCCCTTAGCAAACGCAACCCAGATCAGATCACAACCCTAAATGTAACCTGCAGAGCTCCTAGAAGAGAACACAAGGGAACAACCTTGGGTTTGATAGAGACTTGTTTACAGAAAGAACACAACCCATCGAAGTCCATAAGCTGGTCTTCAGGGATCAATTTCCTCTGTATGCAAGAAACTTTCAAGCGTGAAAAGATAGCCCACAGAATGGGAGGAAACCTTAGCGAGAGACTTATTTGTCCCTGACTGACTCATGCAATCCTAATTACATTAGGCAGGTCACAAAAAAGAAAGACATGAAAGTACAACTTGAAAAGAAAAGATGTGATAGGAAAGGGAATAAGTGAATAATGGGGCTTTGCTCAGATAATGTGTGTATGAAATTATAAGAGAATAAACACTTTTTGAAAGAGGTGTATGGTAAAGGACTGCTACTCAGAATTTACAAAGAACTCTTAAACTCAATGATAAAACCACTGGATTGGGGGTGTGGCTCAGCAGTAAAGTGCTTATCTAGAATGTTCCAGGTCCCAGTTTGTCAATTGACTGCCCAATCTCTTCAGAGGCTGGAGACCAAGCAGTTACTGTGTCCTGCCTCAAGGTTCCCAGAGTCTGCCCACCAGGTTTCTCCCTTCATCCATTCTCCCCTCCCCTGCCTCTCCCCTCTCCTTTCCCCTCTCTTATTCCCAGTTTTATTAAGTATATGAAAATGCTATAGGTTTACATTGCTATCTTAGGTATTTAAACAATATGTGCCAAACTGTATTTACTTAAGTGTCATGTAAATAAAATGTGTCCTTCCTTCAGAACCCTTTATAATATCAATTTTGGCCTTCTTAAAACAATTTACAGACAAAGAATAGAATCTGAAAGATGTAGTCAAGCCATCAATGAATTTTATTTTAAAATTAAAGGAGAACTCATCAGAATGGTAAGTTCATTGATAATTATATTGCTTAAAATTTTGTATTTGTTTATTTTGAGGTAGGGTTTCTCTGAGTAGCCCTGGCTGTCCTAGAACTCAGAGATACGCCTGCCTCTGCCTCTCGAGTGAGAGTGCTGGAATTAAAGGCTTGTGCCACTGTGCCTGGCTGCGTCAAATTTTAAGCTGTATTTGGAAAGTATCCTGTAGTTGTAGGAAAAAGTTTGTATTTGCTGTCTTTGTGGCAATAAACACTTGGGAATTACCCTTATTTCTTTTGGGGGTTGTGCGGATGTGGCATTGTACACATGCATGTATGTGGAAGCCAGAGGCCCATGCCAAGTGACTTCCTCCATCGCTCTATAACTTAGTTTTTGAGGCAGGGTCTCACTGAACCTGAAGAGTATTGATTTCACTAGGCTGGCCAGCTGGCCGGCCAATGAGCTCCAAGGAAATCTCCACCAGCACCCATTAAAGCCAAATGTGCTGGTGCTGGGGGTCTGAACTTTTATGACAGGCAGTTTATCAATGTGTCTCCCAGCAGCTTCTCATGTGGAACTTGAAATACTTAATTTTGGGAAACTAGACATCCTTGTCTTTTTGTTGTCATTGTAGCTTAAAGAAGTCCAGGTGCTGAAAGCTCTGAAAAGGAGGAACGCCAAGGTGAATCGCTGGGTCTCAGTGAGCCACGGGGTAGGAAATGGGAGGAAGTAAACACCTGCTTTAGTTTATAACCTGCACAGTTTGTATAAGGGCTTTGTGGTTTGGGTCAGGTTTTTATTTGATTTTGTAACGTTAATGGAGACTAAGAGATGGGGATCTCTGCTAGCCTGCTGTCATTATGATTTAGCATCCAAAACAAACAGCTTACAAAGAGAAAGGTTATTTGGAGTCACTGTTGGAAGTTCTGGTCCGTGACTAGCTGGCTCTGTTATCCTTTGGGGCCTGTCTTGAAATGAAACTGCTAAGCCAGTCAGACCAGAAGCAAGAGAAGGAGGGCCCTGTCATCCCCCAGTTTCCAAAGCTGCCCACTAAGCGGTACCCATCTGCCTGTCCCTCTGTGCTTCCAGTGCCTAGGACAGTGTAGGCAGAAGTGCTGAGGCTTCTGCTATGTTAACCTAAGTAAATTGTATTGCTCAGATCATTTCCGACATGGAAAAGAAACGGCAGCGTTTGATTGAAGTCCAGGACGAACTGCTTCGGTAAGATAATGTCCTGCTCCTGCAAAGAACTCACCTAAAGGGCAGTCGTTTTTTGTCACTTAGGGTAGTGCTGTTGCTGCTGTGACCCACAACAAGCCCCAGGTGTCCTTAGCACTTGATGATCAATGGCAGCAGCTTGTGGTGCCCAGTTGCAGAGCCTTAGGACAGTCAACACGTATCAGTCACCCACCATGCCTGGTCTGGCCTCAGACAGCTTGATCACAGATGTAATGAGTAGGATTAGACTGCTTGTAATTTGAATCAGGCTCTACCACTGACTGCATGACTTGGGTGAGGTACCTACTTTCCCAATGCCTCAGGCCCCTCTTGTATATATGGGTATAATTGTGTTGCTGCTCAGAGGGTGTTGTGGGAGGCAGTGAGTAAGCCTAGGAAGGGTTCTCTGCAGTGACTCATACAGATGGTTCTGCTTATGCTGTTCGCTTGTTTGATTTTTTTTGACAGATGGTCTTGCTGTGTAACCCTGACTGGTCACTGGCTCGTAGTTACTGTTGAGACCACATTCTGAAGTCTAGGGTTGGGGTGGTCCCCATGCACTGGTTAGGAACACTAGTGCACACGAGTCTGGCAGCCTATCTGTACATTTTGGCCTTCTGAGATGCGGAGTGCTGTGTGACGCAGAGGGTTAAGTGAAGCAGGGCTGACTGTGCTCTCCACTATTAAGATACTTCAAAAGAGCTTGGACAGGCTGAGGATGTGGTTCAGTGGTAGACCACCTGCCTGGCATGAGCAAAGCTGTGGGTTCAATTCCTAGGACCACATGGGTGTGGTAGCAGGAAGCTTGAGCAAACATTTGAAATACTATTTAAGTATTAGGTTTTAAAGTGACCGAATTTTGAGAGAGACAAATTAGTTATCTATTCCATTGTTTACAAATTTAGTCTATGGGAGACACTAGAAAATGTAGTCATTAGCTCTGGCCAAAACATGGAAAATTTGGGTAATGTATTTATAACGATGGTAACAGTTCACAGCTTCCTTTATGACAAGGGCACTTTCCTAAATGCTTCACTCATTTGGCCCATTCTTAGCCAATGTGATTCCAAGGAAGTAGGTTATTTTATGGCCCTTTTATAAGGCTCTGTTTTGTTACATGGGGCATCATTGTGAAACTTGAGATGTATTGAGACTGACTTCTTTAGTTTCTCCTCTAGATGTAATTATAGTAAGACAAACATTTCAAAAAGGCTTAGTAAGGCAAAGTAGATTATAGTTTTAATTTCGCAGATGAGAAGGCTAAGGCACAGGGGAGTCACTCCCCTCCAGACAGGGAATGCAATCCTATACCTCTGACCCCACCACCTCTTCAGTGTAGAGTTTGTTGAATAAATGTTGCAGTTGTTTAGTGTAAAGACCCCTCCTGTTTTTTAAATTGAAAATAATTTTTTTATGTTTCTTTACCCATCGGTCTCCCCTCCCTCGTCCATCTCCCTCATCTCCCAGATCTCCCCAAGTTCCCACAAACTCAATGCCTGTTTCTTTCTCCCTTTAGGAAAACGAGAGAAAACAAAGCTTGAGAAACACACTTGAGAATAGTTGTTTTTGCAAGATCAAGCTGGCGGCCTTTCTTCCTCCCACCATAAGTCACAAGTTATTCCTTTTCTTTAGAGGTGAAGAAACTCAGCCCTAGAGAGGCGACGGTTGGCCCAAGGTTGTGTGTCTTTCTATCCAGGCCTTGTGGCAGTTTCTCCACTGACTTTATTTGGCCTTGGAAACTGGAGGAATCTTTTTTTTTTTGAGACAGGGTTTCTCTGTATTGGTTTGGAGGCTGTCCTAGAACTAGCTCTGTAGACCAGACTGGCTCAGAACTCACAGAAATCTGTCTGCCTCTGCCTCCCAAGTGCTAGGACTAAAGCCGTGCATCACCAACAACTGACTAGCTGGCGGAAATTTTAGTAAGAGGAACTTTCTACATGGCTTCCTAGTTAAACTGTCATGCCAGCTATCATGTTTAATCCAGTAATTCCCAGGGCTTGTGACTAGGTGAATTTCAGCATCTGTGAGGCATGTTCACCATAGCTGTCACTGCTAATTGTATATCAGTTAAGATGAACGGAAATGTAGACTCTTACATTCATAATCTGAGAGGCAAGCACAGATCACCTAGCCCACCCTTGACTTTTCCTTCATCTCCCAGGATGCTCAGGCACTGTAGACTGTTGGATTTTATTGTATGTCGTTTATATGGGAGAAAATTCTTTTGTTATTTTTGGTTTGGGTTTCTGTTCTTTCTTTATAGTATGGGCATTTTAATATTTTCAGTCTACGAACAATATATATATATATATATATATATATATTTATATGTTTCTATTAATTTGTATCTTAAGATTTAAAAAAATTTTGTCTAGATTAGAACCACAGCTGAAACAACTACAAACAAAGCATGACAACCTTAAGGAGAGAAAGTTATCACTGAAGAATTCCATGCATTTCTTATCTAATTTAAAACAGCTGCATCACGACTATTCAGAAGTTCGAGAGAAAGAACCAAAGAGGAAGGAGAAGGTGAGTCCCACTCATCTTTACTGTGCAGCAGCAGATGTGGGCATTCGCTTGTAGAGTGTCAGTGGCTTTGAGAAAGCTAACGAGCAGCATTAGTGAAAGTCATCAGTTCTTAGCTACTAAATGAGAAGCATTGTGCTGCTCCTGAGTTCCCCCTTCTGAGAACTGTACTCAGGGGTGGTGGGTACTGTGCACAACTCTGCTTTATTCCCACCAGTACTCAGCGGTGTTGTGAAGACCAGCCACCTTTAGTTGTCTATTCCATGTTCATGCTTCCGTAGCTGTTTCACAGAAATGGTAGGCATGGCTTGAGAGGTTGAGGAACAGCAAAAAAAAAGTTGGGAAATTGTAGCTTCCTATTTTAATACACTTTGAAGTAGCTCCTGGGACTTTGCTATTGCTCTATGACATCCAATTAAGACTAAGAGAAATGTTTGCTAAAATATTGTAAGTTTGTATACGTAGTAGAACTAGAAAAACAAGACTATTCTAATAGAATTGTATGTTGAATTGCCCCAATAGAATTTTGTACCAAATTACACTAAGAATTGTGTATAGAAAGTGATACGTAATTACACACATGTCTTTGTGCATCAAATGATCAGGTTTGTATTCTTCACCTCTAAATTCAGCTTTTAGATCTGGTATTGATCTAAGTTTTCCTGATCTGAAGATTTGTTCATATATTACAGCTATAAAAATATAAGTTCTTAAAATATACCTAAAGTTTATTTTAGGGATTTGATTACTACATTAGTGAAAGTTTACCTAATCTACACAGTCCTTGGTTAATCACTCTTTGTACATGGTAGGCAAATGCTCTCCCTGATCTACCCCAAGACTTGAAAACCAAGCTGCGCTAACTGTGAAATATACTGCTCTCACGAGTGAGGCTGTGTACCTTCCATTGCCTGTTGTACTGTTACTGTTGGGCACCTACCCCACCCTTTTTTTCCTGTGACATCTGGATGTCACATTTCTTCCTAAATGAAGCCCACAGCTCCAAGTGAATTCTTCCCATTCCTTAGAGAGCAGATGCTTGAGGTGTCTTGTGTGTAGGCAATGATCCCTACATCTGTTTGGTTGAATTCTCCATTAACATGGTTTCTGTGTAGCAGAAAACAAATCCCATTCTTATAAGGGGGTCACCACTGTCTGGCAGCTTTTCTGCTCAGTTTTCATTACTAAGAAAAATACCTTGGAAACACATTTACCAGCAAGCTGCCAAAAGTACGGTAGATCTTTTTTTTTTTTTTTTCTTTCTTCTTTCAGGTAATGACTTTATTTTTTCAGTTAATATAACCAGCCCACAGTACAGTGTGCGAAATCACAAAGTACAAATTCAAGGAAGGGAATGCCTTTACTAAGTCACAAAACTTTGGCAAATTAATACAGTACCCATTAATCCAATAAAATACTATTTTTTGCTGGAGTTATATATTACCTTAGCACTAATTTGTACTCCAAAAATAATCATTTAAGTACCAAATCCAAACACTGGTTTCCAAGAGGGCAAGTTATTTTGTACAAATTAATGGTATTTGAAATTATACAGTTTCTCTTTTTAAAGTGAATTCCTCAGGCAGGTGGATCCAGTTCACAGCAGTGGGCAACTGTGTGGACATGAGGGTGGCTGGCTTTTGCTGTGGTTGGTCCACAGCCAGACAGTGTTCCAGTACCTGACAGGCTCTAAGATTCTACCTAAGGAGACTTGACAGCAACAATGAACACAAGATTTTCCAGTCAGTTCCCTCAAGCCCTTCCACCTGAGACGATCACTTTGATTTAGAAGTTCTCCATTGATCAAAAGCCATAGCCTTATCCCGGCTCATAAAAAATTAAAAAATAAATTATAAAATCTAGCTAAAATAGCTGTATCTTTTAAATAAATAGATATGTCAACTTGTAGGTGTACCAATTTAAGGGGAATTTAATTTCCCTCAGATAGTTTACAACAGGAAGTTTGACTTTGTTAATTGTTTCCAGGTCATGAGTTGGATTTAGAGTTTTAACTTTGTCCTTACATTTGGATTGGCAACCTTTAAGACTTAATTGATCCAATAAGTAACTTTCTTAAATGACAGACACCTTTGAGATTTTTTTTTTTTTTTTTTTTTTTTTTTTTTGCTATAGGAGACTTACTCCATTAGTTCTCGTAGTAAAAGGAAACTTGCTCTGTATACTAAAAACAGTTATTAAAGTATCACTATATGTGAGTCTAACTAGTTTTTCCCATCAGCAGTATGACTCATCTAGCCTTCCAGCTCTATTGTTTAAAGCAAGAACGATTTTGGGAGCCGAAAAACACCTAAAAACTATCAACTGTCAGCTGGGGAAGCTCCTTGAGCAGGAATGAGAAGACCATAAGCTGAGTTAGCCTCCTGCTGCCATCTGCCCTGGAGCCGTCCGTACTCTTGACAACCAAACTCCCCTTCTGAAAATGAGCATGGCCTACTCGTCAGAATTTATTACCATTTTGTCATTGAAACCAGATAACACCAGTTTAACTATGGCTTCTAAAATAAATGGTTGGACAGTTGCAGTTCTGATTGAAATCTATTGACATGATGTTAGTCATCACTAGACGTAAGAGTTCTAATCTACAATAATGATAGTGCATACACGATAATTTTGGCTCAGGTAAGAAGCAAATTATTATTAGAAACTAAGTGATAAAAAACAGTTGCTATAAATAAGGTTTATAATAAGTTAATATAATTTGGTTTGTTATGGTGTTGAGGATTAAATGCAGGGCATTGCACATGGTATTTTACCCTTGGGCTATATAGCCCCAGCGCTAATTTAACATTTATGTAATAAATCTCAGGCTGCAAGCAAATTGTAGCCTCATTATGTAAGTCCTATCCACAGTTAGCTACTACTCTGTAATGCTTCTATAATTAGTTCATCAGGAATATCGTCCATTGCACTCTTGTAACCAAGAAGGCTCCTGTCTGCAGCATCAGCCAATTCCGCATCTTCTGTAGCTTCTAAAAAGCAGGAATCATCTTTATCATCCCAGCCAGCATCAGAAAACTCGCCTGCTAACAGGTTACTGGATGCTGGGTTTTGAGAATTCTTGGTCAGTGAGTTGCTGGTTTCTCCTGCTTCATCAGAAATGAATTCCTCCTTTATATTTGTGGGAAAGAGAAAAGATTAGTCAGAGTATGTGACTTCACTGCACACTCCAAATATGTTAACAGATGACATAATGACTAGTTTTTCAAAGTCAAATAAATGCTAGGTTCCTGTTGTCAAGAACAGTTACCATGGGGAAGGGTAAGTTAGCTCAAATGTGATTGCTTTTGTAGTGTGGACATGGTTGAAACCCCAGGCTAAAACTCCCAGGCTGAGAATACTTTCATTTGACATTTTGGGATACTGGAAAAGAAAAATTTCACCAAAGCCAGTCACCAAAATAAACCAGTAGCTGGGAATATAGCTCAGGGGATAGATGAGGCCCCAGGTTGAAGTCCCAGCAATGCAAAAAAAAAAAAAAAAAAAAGAAAGAAACCACTCAAAACCAAGTAAGAATGATACATTGCCCTTTAAAGAGAGAATTTTAAGATTTTATTTCTAACACTTTCAAACCTAGCTGACTGCTATGCCAGAGGGTCTGCCCATCAGTTCTTTTATGCCCAGCTCATGGGGTTTTCACTTTAAACTTGGATGCTGGCTCAGTGGTTAAGAGGCTGTTTTCTCAGGGTCCGGGTTCAGTCCCCAGCACACACACTGACTCACAACCGTCTATAACTAGAGTTCCAGGGAGCCCAGTGCTTTCTTCTGCTTCCTTGGGGACCAAGCATACATATGGTGCAGCGAAAACAGCCATAAATACATGATTCCAGAAGAGATGTCCCATACATGTTTCAAGGGACACCAGTGTTTTAGAACACGTGCTCAGCCTACAGCAGGTCATTTATTAAGGTGCTGATAGATGGGGGATTTTAAGGTGAAAATAAATTTAAGAAATCAATTCTAAATAATACATGGCAAAAATATATTAAGGCATCATAGAAAAATGGACACAGATTCATAAGAGAAATACAAATAACCTAAAAAGAACACAACTTCATTATTAAACCCAAATGGGAAGTGGCTGGTGATGATTTCAAGATGACTGTCAGGAGGTCTGGCAAACTTAGTGGCAGGTGCTGCCAACATCTGTATCTCAGTTCCTAGGGTTCCATGGAGCAATTTGGAAATAGCTAGTAATGAAAATGTTTCTGCTACTTCAGGGAAGAAACCTATCTCCATGCACTACAGTGACTTAGAAAACAAAGTGAGCACACACACAACTATAAACAATGGAAGATTTACGCTAAGACATTGCATCCATTTGGCCAAATTATGTGTGAAGCTTTTCTTTTTTCCCTTTTTACTTTTCTTGCAGATAATTTTTGTGTATGTTTGTGTGCCACATGTATGCAGGAGGTTGTGGAGGTCAGGAAAGGACACTGGATCCCTTGGAACTGGAGTTGCAGTGGGTTGTGAGTCACCCTGTGGGCGCTGGGGACAACCCGATTATTCTACAAGAGCACTTGAGTGCTCTTAATCATGAACCATCCAGCCCAACCCACTTTTGCTTTTTATGTATTTTCTATTTTTTTTAAAACACTAAATGTGAATCATTTGGATTAATGTTGGTTTGGCAAGCAAATAATATCCAAAACAAAATTGGGTATTCCCTTTGACAGTTCTACTTATAGAAATCCAACCTACAGAACTGTTCGTTAAACAGATTAAGACAAGCATTTTGGTTTACTCTATAAAGCAAAATGTAAGAAACTACTTATATGCCTGGGACTATACACTTGGTTGATTATACATTTTATTACCTAGCAGTAATGTGAGGCCTTGTGGAAAAATTAACGTATTCCAAAGTGAACACAAGTGCCTCACATTGTGTTTAAAAGCTATTTAGAGAGGAAACTGTTCAAAGTTCACTTATGATATGTACGAAAGCTCAAGGCCAGGAGCTACACTCACCTCTTTCAAAAGAAACAGGAGACTTACTTCAGCAGGCAATGGAAAACCTGGATGGAAAAGATAAAATATTTTTAGGTGGCTATCTAATTTTCACTTTGTGGTAAACATAAAATAATAACTCACAGTTAGATTTGAAGTTTTGTGCTTTACATACAGGGTCATGGCACTTTTGATACCAAACTTCATTCTTCAGATCAACCAGAATCCTTTATGTATAAAGAAAAAGAAGCATTAATACCCATACTGCATAGAAAATAAAATTCAAATGTATGCCATTTGCCAGAGATGTGCCTACAACCTCAAAGATGGAGAAAAAGTAAAGAGCTAAAAGGTGAAAATAAACATGCCTAATCAAAAGAAAACCAGTTGCTAAGAAACACGGGCTGAGAAGGAGGATCCATGGGGAAGTGCTTGTCTTGCATGCACAAGGCTGAGTTCAAACCTCAGAACCCACATGAAAACAAAGGAGGCTAGGGTGCTGGCTCAGTGGGGAAAGTGCTTGTTGCCCAAGGATGAAGACCTGAGTCCAGATTCCAGGAACCCACATAAAAACCAGGGGCACATCTGTAACCCTAGTGTGGGGATGGGCAACCTGGGAAGGGGGACTCAGGAAGATCCCAGGAGCTTGCCAGCCAACCAGCCTAGCCAAAATGAGCTCCAGGCTGAGCTTAGAGGAAGACTTGATATTAATCTCTAGTTTGCACATGTACCTGCATGGATGAGGGCACTTGCATACATATCTGTATGCACAAACAGTAAACAATACACACACATTTTGTAAAAGGCCACAGGTGGTGGCATACTCTTGTGATCCCAGTGGTGGATGTGGAAACAAGCAGATCTTTTGGGACTCACTGAACAGCCAGTTTTGTCTAATTGGTGAGCTCTAGGCTAGTAAGGGACACTCTTAAATTTTTTTTTTTTTGTCTTCTGATATCCACACATGTACACTTAATATGCATGTGCCCACATCAATATATACACTATACAAATGTACTTCTCTTCTGAGCAGGAAAAAAAAAAGTGACATGTTACTCTGTTACTCATGTTACTCTAGGAAGATCCAGAAGTTTTCAAGTTATAGCCACCAAAATAATATAACTTCAAAACACAAGCAAGAATGGAGAGCATGCAGGGTGTGGTGGTGCACACCTTTAATCCCAACACTCAGAGACAGAGTCAGGCAGATCTCTGAGTTCAAGGCCAGCCTGGTCTACAAAGCAAGTTCCAGGACAGCCAGGTCTACACAGAGAAACTCTGTTTCAAAAAACAAGCAAAAACCAAGAGGGACAGTACTGTAAGGATGACAAATCTACTCAGATAAGTACAGACAGTGAATGTGGAGACAAACAACAGGGTGTCTACATCTCGTTTCCTACCAAGGCTCAGGGACTATTGTAGAAGAGGAGGCAGGAACAGTGTAAGAAAGAGCTAGAGGTCAAAACACTATGTCTTCTGGACATAAAGGGGTCATTACATCACAGCAGGTGTGGTTGTCTGCATAAAACGTGCACAAGGTCAAGCTAGTAAATATTCAATCATGGAGTGGGAAGGGTTCACCAGTCCCTGCCCCTAGATGAGAGGTGTGGACAGTTGATGGCTTCTGGAGGAGGGAAGAGTCAGTTTTAAGGGTATAGCTCTTGCTAGTTCAAGCAGATGATCCTAAGTCAGAAATAAATGGGAAGGTAGGAAGGTGGGGGTTGATCTGGAAGGATTTGGGGAAGTAATTGCTATGAATATGATTGATTAAAATACATTGTGTATTGTGTAAGGATGGACTCACATATGAACTCACACATCCTGAGGCAGAATGCACAGTATGTACTAGATTTTTTTCCATATGTATATTATGGCTTCTACTTTAGTGGGTTTTTAAAAAGTTTTTATTTAGTATGTATACAGCATTCTGCCTGCATATGCACCTGCCCACCAGCAGAGGGCACAATATCTCATTATAGATGGTTGAGAGCTATTATGTGGTTGCTGGGAATTGAACTCCAGACCTCTGGAAGAGCAGCCAACATCTGAGCCATTTCTCCAACCCTCATTTAGTGTTTTTTATGGGATTCCTGGGTGTGCAAACAAATGGTTCTTTGCATTCTACATCTGTTTCTTGTGCATTTTCTTGGCCTGTCTTCCTTCTGTAAGTTTGTTTTGTCCTATTCCAGTATGTTTTGTTTTTTTTTTTTTTCTCCTCTTATCATTATCCCTTAGAAGCCTATTTGTTTTCCAGTGAGAGACAGAAAGGGGGTCAATCTGGAAGGGAGGGAGGTGGGGAGAAACTGGGAGAAGTAGAAGGAGGGAAGACCACAATCAGGATATATTATGAGAGGAGAAAAAAAAAATCTATTGTCAATACACATTTATCTGTAAAAAGAAAAAATATACAATGTATGAACTCAGACTTTTAAAGAAATTGATAAAATCTACAAAGTAGCCACCAAAAAAAAAAAAAAAAAATCAGTAAGGTGCAGAAGGTATGAATAAAACAATATTGATGCAGTTAACAAACTTATTCTAATAGGCACATATGAAGTAACTCTCTGTAATCATGTGCAAGCCATTAATAAAGGCTGACTGCAGGCTAGCTATACTCCAAGCATCCTCAAATTTGAAAGTTTATTTTGAGGGCTGGAGAGATGACTTAGTATGAAGAGGGCCCAGCTCAGTTGGTAGCGCTCTCATCAGCTGGCCCACAATTTTCTTAACTCCTTCTGTCCTCCACATGCATAGGGCAAACACTCGTACACATAAAATAAAAAGGGATACATGTTAAATGACTTAGTTTATATAGAACACATTCTCTAACCACAAGGGAAATTTTGCAAATGAGATTAATTTAGAAATAAAGACATTTCTAAATAACCAACAGCTTTAGTAGCTATAATGGAAATTTAAAATGTGTAGGCTTGAGTACCACCAAAAACACATTATTACGTGAAAAGCAGCTAATGTGGTCTTCGGGGTATTTAGTTTTTACACCTTACATTGCAAAAGAAGAATGATTAGTGACACCATGGAAATGAACAATAAAATACAAGAATTAGTAAAAAGTAAAAACTAAAAAACAAAACAAAAAAAAAAAAAAAAAAAACTAGTAAGGCCGAAATTCAAGACTAATTCAATTACTGCAATATTGATTAAAATTTTACAGTAACCACTGAGTCATCTCTCCAGTCCCCAAACATAGTTTTGACTGCTTCTGAAAACTGGATTAATCTAGTATACCAAGAATAACATAGAATCAGGCTATCCAACATGTTTTTCAGCAAAATCTTCATTGTCCTTTCCTCATGTCTAGCATAAACAAAATTATACAAGAGTCCCAGCTTGGACACTAACTATACAACACAACAAAATTTCTCATGACTAGCAACTTCCCCTTTATTCCTAGTCTCGCCAAATCTTCATACAACTTAAAATGCTGGGTCTGGTTTTACTTTGTGCTTTGCTTCTCTTTTTGTCCAGGAAAGTTACTAAAACAGGGCCTGGTATACAAAGCCAGCATTCTTAATGGACAGACACAGGTTCCCCCACACTTTGTCTAGAACAAGGATACCTCAGACTTAACCTCACCTTAACCTCAGAGTTCACACTAACTGAAGAATTTCCTCCTCACTCACATCTGCCCAATTTCACTTCTGTCAGGTGTCAAGGACCAATGGCAGGAAGGAAGAAAAGGCAATCTGTCCATCAGTACCATCTGCCCCCAGTCTCCTGCCACATTCTTTCTATCATCTTTTTAAGCTGCTACTGTAAGGGTTATTATCAAACAAAGTAAAGTAAAGCTGATCTGTGCTAGAAGTAATCTAACAACTAATAAATTCATTTAACATAAAATATTGACCAAATAAGGATATAAATTTATACATTATAAATGATTTTACATTGTCAATATTGATTTGAAATTATAAGTATTTTAAATACATGTTAAAGGCATACAAGTATTAATAAACAATATTACTTACATAATATTATTACTTTTGTGGGCTCTTCCAATGTTTTCACACCAGCGATATTTACAAATATCATAAACCAGTAATTCTTCTGGGAAAAAGTAGTTCCAACGCCGAATTCCTGAAATGTAAAGTGTGCTGCTCAAGGAACCATTGCTCTGTCATGTGAGAGTTAATAAAAAGTGTACCAGACTTTACCTCCTTTAATGCCATGTTTATTCACCAAAGAAAGAACAAATTGGTCAACTTCAGGGTACGGTGAGCACTGGGACCCTTCAAGGGACTCCACTGCAATGGAGAGAAGCGTTTACAAATGAAAATAGTTACATGCTGAAAAAACCAGTGACCAAATGATTATTTTGTATAACTAAAGACCCCTCCATCCCCCCCCACCCCACCCCCACTCCCCGCTTTTGCAACCTGCCTTCTGCTATGCTACAAGGAAACAGTTAAGACAAAAACTTCGACTGGGTCAAATGCTGGCTGGTTTTTATAAAAGGCCTGTTTTCTTCACTCAGACAAAGGGAAAGGTAGACCCTCAGCCCAGAAGTGGCACGGGCCTACCGGCTAAGCCTAGGTGCAGCTGGCCCGACTCCTACTTCAGCCTTGATGTTTTGCTGTTAAACACAAATGGTGCTACAGGACTTTAGCAGGCAGACACTGAGGCCACTGGGAGGTCTCAAAGATTCAGGACAGAAACAGACCTCCCTGTCATCTTGTCTGGGCACAGAGGAAACATGAACATCAAAACTACAAAAATGCCAAACACTGCCTCTATCCTGGCTAATACAAGCAACTGTAGTGCTTTATCAGTTACAGTGGTGTAAGTCTCCTTCCAAGCTGCCTCCTCCTAGGTAAGATTTAGTAAGATAACCAATGGAATTTACTCTCCCTCCAGTAAAAAATAAGCCCAAGCTTACTTGTATACATCCTAGAGTCACAAAAGCCAGGTTCAAGCCTTACTGAGTTTCCCCAAGAATTTCCATCACCTCAGGGAAGAGGAAATCATACACTTAATTTGTTTTTTCTGGGTCTCTCACTGGAGGGCACTACCAACTGTATTTTGTATCTAAGAATCTACTGTCATAACTTAGAATGATCACAAATTCATTTGGGCTTATTAACATAAAAATCTAGTTATTTTTTAAAATAAAGTCAGAATTTCATTTAAAATAGTTATATGTTAACTGGAGTAATTTTGAAAAATATTTCAGTGTAGAAATGAGAAAAATTCCTAGACAATGTGTCTATAAATATATCTTTTTTTATTTTTTTTAAACAGCAGAGTGCCTTCATTTTTTTTTTTTTAAGATTTATTTATTGATTATGTATACACTGTTCTGCCTGTATATATGCCTGCAAGCCAGAGGAGGGCACCAGATGGTTGTGAGCTGCCATGTGGTTGCTGGGAATTGAACTCAGGACTCTGAAAGAACAGCCAGTGCTCTTAACCACTGAGCCATCTCTTCGGCCCCTCTATAAATATATATTAAAACAATCAGAAGAAATAAACACAGGAAAATGTTGCCCATGTTTTAAATAGGCTTATAATCATTAACATATGTGTGCATGTGTGTTGTTGTTGTTATAGCAACAGGGGATCTATTGAACCCAGGGGAAGTGCTCTATCACTAAGCTACATCCCTGATCCCATACTTATAATTTTAGGACCTACTTTTTCTCCTATCATCATCAATGGCTGTCTTTCACATTTTATAAGCCTTATAAATCTAAACTTTGTAGTTATGGAGTATGTTATCCAATTCTGTTGTATATTTAGATTGTCTGGAGTTTTTCACTATTATAATGAATATTATAATGAATGTGAATAAAAGTATTTATTTGAAATTTTACATGAGAAACTGTAGAAACTTTAAAAAAAAAAAAAAAAAAAAAAACCCTGCATGGGGTCAAGACCAGGCTGGAGAAACCCACAGAGACAGCTGACCTGAACAAGGGGGAGCTCATGGACTCCAGTCTAATAGCTGGGAAACCAGCATAGGACTGACGCAGACCCCTGAATGTGGGTGTCAGTTAGGAGGGCTGGGCAGTCTAAGGGACCTCTGGTAGTGGATCAGTATTTATCCCTAGTATAAGAATGGAATTTGGGAGCCCATTCCACATAGAAGGATACTCCCTCAGTCTAGACATGAAGGGAAGCCTAGGCCCTGCTCCAAATGATATCATAGACTTTGAAGATCCCCATGGAAGTCCTCACCCTCCCTGGGGAGTAGAAAGGGTATAGGCTGGAGTTTGGTTGGGATGATAGAGGAGGATGGGAGGGTGAGGGAGCTGGGATTGACATATAAAAACAACCTTGTTTCAAATTTAAATAAAAGAAAAAACAAAAACAAAAAACCCTGCATGTTCTTCCGTACAGGAATGGTCAAAATATGATAAAGTCATATGTGAAACACTTTTGTAGGAGTGCAAGGTTAAACAGGAATTTGATGGCAAATACTTTTTACCTGCTGAGCCATCTCATCAAGCCACTTGTCTTTGTGTATGGACAAAGGGTAAAAACAGGGATGGAGGGATTGCTTAGTGGTTACTTCTGACCCCCAAAGGCCCCAGATATGTGACGTGGTCCACAAAGATGCAGGCAAAACATCCATCACGAAAAATACTTTTTTAAAAAAATGGGGTGAGAGATCATATAGTGACATTTTGATGTGCTTGTTTTATGTAAACTGTATTACTTATATAGTCTTTAAATCACAGAATGAAAATCAGGTATTTTAATTAATAAACATCTATAAAATTTTTTATAGTATGTCCAACCTGGTTAGAAATCTAGAAGAATTAGTTTTAAAATGATCAGTAGATACAAGTACTTACAATTTAAGATTTTTAAAGCAAAATAGATTTGAGATTCCCTAAGTTTTAATGTGAAATTGTTTGCTTAAAGTTACCTGAAGTGCCTGTGCTGTTAAAATACTCTGCCCGCTTTCTTTTAGCTTGAGATGTGTCACATGTGAGAATTCGTAAAGTGTCTGAAAATCTAAAACAAATGTGTAAAACAAATAAAGTAACATTATGTTAGAATTTAAGTAACATGAGGGGGGGAGGGGGGATCCTTGTTGCTTCATTTTCATGGCCCAAGGTGCCAGTCTTACCTCATAATTATGATTATGGCAATTAAGAAAACAATTTCCTGGAGGCTGGAGAGATGGCTCCTCTTCCAAGGAAGCAGGGTTCAATTCCCAGCACCCACGTGACAGCTCACAGCTGTCTCTAACTTCAGCTCTAAGGTTTCTGACACCCTCACACAGACAGACATATAGGCAAAACACCAATGAACATAAAACACAATAGGACATAGAAACATAAAAAAGAAATTTCCTTAACATTCCTTTGGGGATTGTTTAAAATAATTCCTTTACAGAGTCATACAATGATTCTAGGGTAAGTGAAATAAATGATTGAAAGTATAATTCTACTGCCAAACACACAGCCCTTTGAACGTTCCGTTAGGATTTGAAAAGCTATGAACAGTGGAAGAGAAGGAAAGGGGAGTGAAAGTTCGGGGGGGGGGGGGGGAGAGGACCTTCCACTCTGCAGGAGAAGGGCCTGGCATTCATGTGGCCATGCAAAGGGCAGCAAAGGGGTCTTAGGAGGAGAACTGCTTGCTTCTGAGAGACTGCACTAAAACCACACAGGACTCAGGCCAGCAGCACAGCTGAGTGACTTCCCTAAGTGCAGACGCTGCCCCTCCAGTGAATGCCGGCCACAGTTGCGAACATGTAATCTGTATGTTCTAAGCTTAATTCAACAACTCTGAAAGGTCATTATTCCCACTTTAAACGTCTTCATCTTGGGCCAGTGCTGGTGGTGCACACCTTTAATCTCAGCACCTGGCAGGCAGAAGCAGGTGGATCTCTGAGTTCAAGGCCAGCCTGGTCTACAAATGGGTTCCAGTACTAAGAGTCTTTGTATCTTTCTTTTGAGAAATATTAAAGGAACACGAACAAGTAGAGATAGATGATGAAGGGGAGTATATCTTCCCACTACACATAACTTTTCCTAGAGAAACATGCCTTTAACGTTTATTCCTTTTTTGTTTGTTTTGAGACAGGTTTTCTCTCTATAGCACTGACTGTCCTGGAATTTGCTCTGTAGACCAGGCTCCCTTTGATCTCAGAGATCTGTTTGCCTCTGTCTCCTGAGAACTAGAATTAAAGGCATGAGCTTAATAGTTCTTAAAATTAATTTCTATAGAATTTTTTCTTATAAAGTTTCAGGGAGATACAGATGGATTTCTGTGAATTTGAAGACATCTTGGTTTATATAGTGAATTCCAGGCCCACCAGATTACACAGTGAGTCTCTGTCTTAAAAAAAAAAAAAAAAAAAAAAAAAAAAAAAAACCAAAGGGGAGGGGGAATCAAATCCCCAAACCAAAAACTTTTGAGGAAGGTAAAGGGCAAAAACAATATAGTAAGTTAATATGGTTTAGTCTAATTATTAACTACTTTTGTTTGTTTTATGGTTTTGCCTGTGTTTGTTGTTTGGGGGGGGGCAGGGTGATAAAGAATTACCACATGATCTCATGAAGTCTGGCTGGCCTTGAACTTACTATGTAACCAATGACGATCTTTAACTCCTTGTTGTTGCATGTCCAGCTCCCAAGTGAGAGAATTACAGATAGGTCTGGGTACTAACCACATTCTGCACTAACAAATTTGCCATCCACAGAAACCTAATGTGTAACAACAAGCCTGGCAATGAAGTATGCCACTGTAGTACAAAGCTTAGAGCAGTAAATACTTCACTTACAATTGGTAGGAAACTATTAACTTGGCAAATATTTGTGATATGATGTTGAGTAGACAAAAAAGAAAAAAGAAAAAAACCCACATGGCATAACCATATGAGCAACGATCCCAATTAAAACACATTTTCTGGGGTTTGGTGCAGTGGATCAAATACAGGGCTTTGAGTACTGCAGCCAAGTGCTATACTGATGTGCTATACCCAAGGCAAGAAATAGTTTTCTATTAGGGAACTATGTAAGTTCTAAATGTGTATGTGTATATGTGGAAAGAAATTGAGACAGTAGTAATTATCCTTTCAAACTCAATGCGTGTATCATTATTTTCTAATTTATAAAGTGATAATTTCAAAATAACAGGAACTTTAGAATACATTAACTATAATAAAAAGATATAAAGAGGAAATTGAATTGTTAGACATATTTCTTGATATTATTTTTTCAGATATAGAGAAAGGAGACTTTTAAAAACTCCTTTTCTTAAGGTAGACTCAATTCTTACAATTCACATGTAGCAATATACAATGCTATTTACATGAATACATGACAATTAACTCTGCTCTACAGACCTGACATTGCTCACCAGGGAAGACAGGAAATACTGATTTTCCTTAGAAATATCTTTTGACTGGTTTGGCATAAATCTGTTATCTTCAGCAACCTCCAAAGCCACACATTTCCCTATCTTTGATGATCGATACAGTCGAAAGTTTCTGTTTCTTGTATAAACACCTACAACAAAAATTAATTTTGAAAATGAATGCATGTTTCCATGATTAGTTTTATGGTCAGCAAATATTATTTTTCTGCAGAACTGCTTGAAAAGACCATGTTCCCACATACAAAATTAAAGCAGTATATGAATTAAGATAAGGCCCCACGCAGACAGCTAAGTGATTCCAGAGCACTCTTCAAAGGAGAGTAAACAGAAGAGCGAGACAAAGTACCAGAAAGAAAGTCTGTGACTGAGAGCTGCCAAAGAACTGTGGCAGAAAACCCCAGAGAAAGGGAGACACCTAGAAAAACCGGAGTCTCTACAACAAACCTAATGAAAGCTGTGTAAGATTTCTATCCAGAAAATTACACAACATGGCAAGAAATGAGAGAATACTAAATAAATAGGGAACCGGTCGTGTATCAGTGTTAGCCCAAGAAACGACAGCCAGAATAAACAATAGAACAGACCAGAGTCCGAAATACGTGCAGACTCTGGATTGGTGGAAAAGGGTCCTGCTGAGCAGTAGGGAATGACAGACCTTTCTAACAAATGTGCTGAGATAACTGGATACTACACAAAAAAAGGATGAATCTCAAACCTCTCACTCAACAAGCGAAAGTCCACTCCAGGTGGATTGCAGAACCTAAGGATAGCCCAAGCAGGCATGGGCTTGCCTTTTACAAAGGACACATACAGTGCAGACAACAGTGCCCATGTTACTCACCTAAATCTACAAAAAGACACTTTTCTCCTATGTTATTCTTCACAACTAAAAATGAAAGATCAGGGTTGTATTGCTCAGGCAAGCCTGGCTTCTCCCAGGCCTCCAAAATCTCTTGTTTTAATGGTACATCAGAAAAACAGGAAGCTTCGTGGTCCATTACCTCTGGAATCTTATCATCATCTTCCTTGGTAGTTAAGTGAAGAGCAGGTTGCAAAATTTTTCTCACAAAATTACCTAAGAAGAAAGAGTTTTAAGATTACAAAGTAATCTTATTTTTGGTAGACTGTAACTATGCCTAGATGTGTATCTACAAACAACAACTTTATGCACTAACGCTACCCCCCCCAGTTATTGCTGTAAACTGTAATCTCCTCTGCCAAATCCTTTAATTTGTGTAAACCTTTTATTTTTTTCAGATCCCATTGGCAATGGGAGGGTGTCAGTTGTAAACACACCATTTAGATGTTGCTGGTACGGACCAGAGGCTAACGTGCTGCCAGCAGAAATGTCTATTTCACTACTACAGATCAGAATGATTTCTAGTCAGTGATCAAAGGATGAGGCATTCATATGAGGACACCAATGCAGAGACAGGGACAGCACAGAGAGCCTGCCACACACTCCTGGAGTTAGCAAGTTGGCAAAGTCTGATAAGTACATCCTGTCCTTCAGCTGCTACGACATGCCCCAAGAACTCTCACTTTGAGAGTCCCAAGGCTGTTTCCAACCATACATCTCCCTCACATTGGTCACAAGATAAACTGTGGCCTTAGAACTAATATATGGAATTAAAGCAATTCATATATTTTGTACTTCAACATCTGCCCTAAGACTGCTCTATTTGCACTGTGGAAAATTAGTGAGACAACTGAACTTCTTCAAATTCACGTGTGCTATTTACACCACAAAAAACAGGCATTAATTCAACTAATGAGTTGTTTTTTATATAGTACTGTATACATGAAATAACGTAAGAAAAACTTCTCCAGAATTGCAAATTGGGGCTTATCACTTTATATGTCAAAAAAAAAAAAAAAAGCTTGAATCTTTACGTCATAACACACACATGCTTTATATTCAAAATCTTTCTCTAAACAAGACTTCCCTGTGCAAAGAAACAAATACAATTTCTGTTTGGTTTGCTTTTTTTGAGGCAGGGTCTTGCTAAGCAGTCCAGGATGCCCTTGAACTTGGGATCATCCTGCCTCAGCCTCCCTAATTCTTGGACTGCCGGCCTGTGTCACAATGACTAATACATTGCTAGCATCTTAAAAGAAACTGGAACTGGATATGGAGGCACATGCATGTTATCCCAGCTCAAAGCAAACAGTCAGGAGACAGTGTGAGGCCAGTTAGGGCTATATAGCAAGACACAAAATAAACAAAACAACTGCAGAGATGGTTCAGCAGTTGAGAGTGTTTCTCGCTGGTCCAGAGGACCAGAATTCAGTTCTCAGCACCCATGTCAGGCAGCTCACAACTGTTGCCAACTCCAGCGTCTGGAGATCTGACACTTTCTTCCAGTCTCAAGGGCTCCTGGTACTCACAGATTCAAAGACATACACACTAAAAATAAAGAAGCATTAGAACATTAAAATGAAAGCAAAAGCATTTGATTCTTGCAGTAAAACAAAGATGTGGTTATTGTTGGAATGGAAAAGAGCAGGTTAACAGTGGTTAATGAGATACAATGTATCTGATGACTATGACACAACATAAACATAAATTGGCAGAGATGACTTTCCTGGAAACTTCAAATTCCATCTACCTGGCCCAGATAATAAGAGCAGGGAGAACTAGATGCAAAAATGGTCTCATGGGCAGTACTAGGCAGCTAGGCCTTTGGACCTTGGCAGGGAGCTAACATGGCAGGAGTATGATGGCACTCAGCCAGCTTGAGTATTAGCGCTCTGGCTCCCAGTGCACACTCTGCTGTGCCCTTCTCTGATCTGTGGCGGTGAAGTGCACAGTCTAGATAAAGTTCTCTAATCTCTTCCATTTGGCCCAGTTCCTCTTTCTGTAAGGCTAGTAACAGGAACCTGTAAGTGTCATAAAGAGGAACACAAGGAAGGGGAAAGTACGGGGGTTTGGGGGGGTGAGGTGGACTGGCTTGTACTCCCTGAATGACATTCTGGCTGAATGAAGAGACAGCCTTGGATGACAGCCTGTTTGTCACATCTGACAGTGCTCTCACTGTGGCAGTAAAGGCTCTCTTACTGTCATGTGTATGGTGCAGCTCTACCCCAACCTCAGAGATAATGTGATCTGTGATCTGCTTCCAGAAGTCATCTGCAGCAGAGGCTGCTCGATATTAGCAGCTACCTCTTCTCTCTAGCTAGACTCTCAACACACAGCCGTACTCAGCAGTCACAGAGCAGACTGAGGAGTAAGCAGGAAGCAAAGAGAGTTCCCCGGGACTGTTTCCAGACTCTGCTGTTAATATTCTAAATATTATTATTAGCAATATTAACATATGCAAGTGAACAACAGTCCCTGCCACTGAGAAACTTTAAGTGTGAAGTGTTTGCAGCATCAACCTGAGGCCCTGAATTCACATTCCCAGAAACTACTAAAAACATGAAAAGGCCAAGCATGGCTATGCCATCTGTAACTTTGGTGCTGGGGAGTAGAAACAGGCAGATCCCGGGAGCTTGCTGGCCAGCCAGCCTTGCTGTAATGGCAATCTTCAGGTTAAGAAGGGGTCCTATCTTAGAGCAATAATGTGGGAAAGTGGTTGAGGAAAATATCCTCAAGTCACCTCTAGCCTCTTTATGTGCCCACAGGGTGAGTGCACCTGCACACACATGTGGACGTATGTATACCCACATCCATACACGTGCTTGTGCATACTACATAGACTAGAGATAAGAAAACGGGAAATCCCCCTACAAAGTGGTAAATGGTAAATGATTTCACAGTTATCACTGGATGCCGCAACCCAGAACACTAGCTTTTTGTTTGTTTTTTGAGGTTTCTCTGTATTGTTCTGAAGCCTGTCCTGGAACTCGCTCTAGACCAGGCTGGCCTCGAATTCACAGAGATTCACCTGCCTCTGCCTCCCGAGTGCTGGGATTAAAGGCGTGTGCCACCAACGCCTGGTGAACCCTAGCTTTTTAAATCTTAGCGTTGGAGTGATAGAACAGTTTCTGACAGCCTGAGATATTAAAGTCTTGACAGACCACCTGAACTGGAGTGCAGATAGCAGGAACAAAGGTAAGAAGGCCCAAGCTTCGGGGGGAACTAAGTTACAGAGTAGAGGGAAGAGGTTCGAGCACAGTGGCTCTCACTGTACAAGTGGGTGCAGTTTCCCCTGATGGCAAAGAATGACCCTGAAGAGTTTCAGGTGTATGTGCTATCTATAGTCACACCACTCTAGCTAGCTGACCAAATAATCAGGTGAAGACCTACTGAGGATGAAGACCATACCACGTACACTGGACAGCGGTAAGTGACAACACTCACTGACAGGTTAGGGAAGGGAGAGAGCTTGGGAAGGACATGTTGAGTCGAAATGTCTGAGTGGAAATATTGGTGGGACGTTGTTGCAGGGATCTGGTGTTCAGGACAATCTGGACTAAAACAAAGATCCTAGTCATCTATGTGGATGATAACTGAAGCCACAATAGTGGGTGATCAGGAACTGTGTGACAGAGTGAATAGAGGTTCAAGCTTCATTCAGCCTGCAAGTTACCGACACCTAAGGGATGAGCAGAACAGTCAGAGGCTGAGCCAACTGACATGGGGAGGTAAGGACCACTCTAGCTTGCTGTGACCCAATACAGCTCTAATCCAACTAACTTAGTGCCAGTCCTTTAGTGACTATGTTCATACCAATTATTCTAGGTGGCCGTGAAGTTACAAGATATATTGTAGCTCTGAAATGGGTTGCCTGTTACAAGAACATTAGCCAACACTCTTTAAACTTAAGGCTACTATTGCTTTGATGAACGTTAGGGCTTCTGGTTCTCTTTAAACCTGAGGTTTTAGGTGTTCCCACTTGGCCTATTTGCACATCCTTTGGACTGACTTCACTTCATACCTCAGGGTTCATTTGTCCTAGGGCAAACACTCTGCTTACACTCACAGGTGTGCACCAGACGTCATTGCAGTTTTAAAGTTCTTCCTGGGACAATAAACCCTTCTTGATATGACCAAGGGCCCAAGCCCCCAAGCTAAGGATAATTTAAGGCTGAAGTAAAGGTCAGAAATGCAGATATTAGACATCACAGATAAACCCACGCCTGACTTATCAGACAACTGAAAAGGAATCCTGTTGGAACAGAAACCTATATCAGGACATGCAAGATCTCAGTGTATACGGTAAGAGGCACTAATGCCACTGATAACCTGAGCAGGTTAAACTACCAGGAATAGAACTGGTCAAGAACTAAGGACAATCATGAAAACCCACTTCATCTTTTTAGAACAGATAAGCCACCATAAAGATAGGAAATACCTAGAAAATCTGAAGAAGAGAAGGAAAATATAAGGTTTTAATACCATTGGGGTCTTTTAAAAGATACTCACCAACATGAATGTTATTTTTGAACGCCACATCATGGAGCTGAAATATTAGATGTCGACTAAATTTTTCTTCAGTGCTGGAATCCAAGTTGATAACATCCTCAGCTGAGCAGTGTACACTGTATAACTCCTCAAGTGCTTTACAAACAAGCTAAGAATACAAGCACATGTAAATAATTTACAATTTCAGTTTTAGATTTCTCTATCAGCAATCTAAATACCTTGCTACAAATTGGATGACTTATTGGAACATTTACATAGCAATTTATTTATAAGTTTAAACACATCACTTATGATATGTTTATGTCAATAATTTATAGGCAGGGCTGGAGAGATGGCTCAGGGGCTAAGAGCACAGCTTGCTCTCCCAGAGGTCATGGTTTCTCAAATGCAGCTCAGAACCATGTGTTACTCCACTCTAGGAGTTCCCATATCCTCTTCTGTCTTTTGGGTACCGTGGCATGCATTTGATATACAAACATACAAGCAGACAAAACATCCATAGATATAAAATTCTAAAAATAATTTTTAAAAATTTCTCTTAGGGTTGGAGAGATAGCTCAGTAGTTAAAAGCACTTGCTACTCTTTCAGAGAACCCAAGTTTGATTCAAAGCACAAGCACAGTAGCTCACAACCATATGTAACCCCAGTTCCAGGGAATCCAATTCCCTCTTCTAATCTCTGTATGTAGGTACCAGGATCATATATGTGCACAGATATACATGTAGGCAAAAGCACCCAAACACATTTAAAAAAAATAAAAATTCATATGCTTTCAGGGCTGAAGAGACTCTTAAAGGTCAAACAACTTATATACTAATTTCTAAAACTATAATAAAAAGCTCCCTGTTAAATATTTCCTAATACTAGATGTCTTAGGGTTTCTGTTATGATAAAACATTATGACCAAAACCAACTCAGGGAGGAAAGGGTTAATGCCATCTCATAGCCTGTGGTACATCATCCAGGGAAGTCAGGACAGGAATTGATGCAGAGGTCATGCGGAAAGGCTGCTACTGGCTTATTCCTCATGGCTTGCTCAGCATACTTTCTTATACCATCCTGAACCACCTACCCACAGGTGGCAATGCCCCACAGTAAGCTGGGCCCATCTACGTCAATCATTAAAACAAGAAAATGGCCCACAGGTCAATTTGGAGAGGCTATCTTTTCAGTTGAGGTTCTTTCTTCCCAAATGACTCTGGCTCATGTCCAGCTGACAAAACACAAGCCAGCATAGTAGCTAAAAGTTATAGTCTCTGGTTCTAGTCCTTTTATAACTTGAATTATTAGAGAATTTCTCATTCCTATTGAAACTACATCTACCTGAAAGCACGTGGCTTAGGAGACCAAGACTTGGATTTAGAAAGTGCTAACTGTGAGTTTTGGCCCTACTCTTACTGATCTTAGTGCTGTGATCAAACCTAACCCTGGCATTCCTCAGCTGTGAGATAGAAATAATAAATGTTACCTGACTTTTGGAGTTATGGCAAGGAGAAAAAGAGATTAAGGAGTTAGCACAGTGCCTCGCACATTTTCCTGATATAGAGTAGTTCTTCAATGGTTATATAGATGTGATATAAAGAATTAAGAGGGAAAAAATTAAACCCTGAGATGACCTTTTCATGTGTTTATTAAATGTGTCACATAGGAATTTTATTCTCTGTTTATTACATTAAGTATATTTCTACTTTCTAATACATTGTTGCACTTTATTTTTAAAATAGTAGCAATATGTTTAAGTAGCAATGAAAATCTCTTAATTTAGTTCTTTGTAACCCATCCATGTAAGAAATTCTACATCACACTGTTGAACTAGGTTACATAACCAGAAAAGAGCCAATACTGATGGATTATAACAAAGTCAAAAACTAAGCCATCTACAATGAAATAAGGCATTTAAGTTTACTGGTGTCCAGTGGCTATTGTAAGACTAATACCACTTGTTTGTCTTGGAGAAGCAAGGAAGACTTTACCTATGTTTATTTTACTTCAAAGTTGGGAGAAAGTATTTATTTACAAATATTTTTCATGTAAACTTAAAGTCAAATATGCAAAAATTCTAATGAAATTAGCAAACTTCTTTTAGCAAGAACATTTGAACTTAGATATATTTTCAACTTACAAAATTACTTTTCAAAAATTATCATATGATTAACATTTAAAACATACTCTGAGACCAAATGGTCACTGCAATTTTCATACAATTTATGCAAAACAATCTTAAGTTTTTAAAAACAGATGTCAATGTATAAGACCATATAATTCTTTTTTACTGACACAGTAAATAAAAAAAAAAATAACCATTAGCACTATATTCTTCTTAGATGAAAACAAACATAACTACTTATATTCTAGGTTTGGCCAGTCTCTATCTATAGAATCCAAGTACATTCTGGTCTCTGAGTCTTAATTTTTTTCACCTATTAAGGCACTGATACAATTTCCAAAATCCGTATCAGTTCAAAAATCCTGATACTACTTTTAGCCAAAATTTTCCTGAATTTCATCTCAATGTCCAATTTTAACAGTGAAATTTGCTTTACTTACCTTTTGCCACAGGTTAAGTACACTGGAAGTCAAAGAATTGTCACTTTCATTTATATCAACTTTTTAAATTAGATATATAATTTTAAAACTACAGGCATTAACTGAGTTTTTATTTTGTTTCATTATTTATGCACAGAAACTGCCAAAGAATAGCAAGAAAAAGTAGGAGAAATATGGAACCTACGGGTGACATCCAGCAGAGTGAGTCAGTGATTAACGGAAGTAGAAGAACTTACCTCTATGAGTAATGCAACCATCTTTTTCCCATCAGCTCCTGGATTGGCCAATTTGTTAAATTCCAAATCAAAATAAAGCTTGCACACAGCATTCTCAGGAATAACTTCGTAGCAATGCAAGAGGGTTTTTCTAAATTGAATAATCCATGATTACTAGATTTGTATCACATGTGTAAATAGTGAACGCCTTTACAAACTGAGCCACCTCACCAGCCCATGAATGACTTTGACAAGAGTAAATAAGAACAGGTACTGATTCAAAATGCAAACACATAAAGTTCGGAAGACTATATATATATATATATATACATACATACATACATACATACATATATATGTCTGTAGTTAAGTTAAAACTGATTAAGGATCAGAGTTCAGTTCCCAGCACCCATGTCAGGTGCCTTATAACTACCTGTAACTCTAGCTCCAGCGAGTCTGACATCTTCTTACGGCCTCCTCAGCACCTGCAAACATGTAGTACTCACACATACTCAGAAATAAAAATAAAATAAATAAATTTTAAAAAGGAGAAGTCATATAGTAGCTGCGTGTAGCAGATAGTAGCTGTGGGTACTGCCACATACATTCTGACAGCACTACCTTTACAGTCCAAGATGAGATTTAGTTTCAATAAAACACTATCTGTCATCAGGGTTTGGGAAGGGGCTGTCTGTGGGCGCCATGTTGGGCCACGAAGGTGGCAAAAAGAAGCCCCTGAAACAGCCCAAGAAGCAGGCCAAGGAGATGGACGAGGAAGACAAGGCTTTCAAGCAGAAGCAAAAAGAGGAGCAGAAGAAACTCGAGGAGCTAAAAGCCAAGGCCGTGGGGAAGGGACCCCTGGCCACAGGTGGAATTAAGAAATCTGGCAAAAAATAAGCTGTTCCTCATATCTGAGATGATGGTGACACTCTTCCATTCCTATTTAAACATCGGATTCCCTGCCATAACATCTTTGCCACCTACAGCTAGAATGAAGTGTTATCTTGGAGCCTGTTGTACATTGTAATAAACTTTTGTAAAAATAAAATGAGTAATACAATGGCTCATTGTCTCTAGTGTTCAGCAATTCCTACCTCAGCTGTGAATTTAAAGTAAACCCAGTCTGGGATCCTACCAGAGCCTGCTGTTTCCTCTTTGTTTTCTGTATCACTCTGAATTAAACCAGCTCATTAAAAGGCAAAAAAAAAAAAAAAAAAAAAAAAAACACTATCTGTCACATTGTATCAAGATCCACTATGGGACAGGTATGGTGGCGCATACCTTAAGTCCCAGCATGTGGGAGGGAGGCTGAGGCAGGTAGACCACGGAGTTTGAGGCCAGCTTGGTCTATACAGTGAGTACTTGGAAAGCCAGGGCTACACAGAGAAACCCTGTCCCAAAAAAACTAAAAAACCAAAACCAAAATAAACAAAAACCTCCATTCACCTCTGACTAGCATCCATATATACAAGCATAACTAAACCTAGTTTTATAACTGAAGCTACTTAAATAACATCATAATGAAAGTATTTTTTAAGTCATATTGATTTACTCCCCTTTTCATAGGTAAGTATTATGAAATAGAATGTGTGATGTGGGAGTGTGAGCCAAGTAAACCCTTTCCTCTCTCTTCCACTTGCATTTTGGTCATGGTGTTTCACCACACCAATAGTAACCCTAAGGCAAGTAACTAATCACGTGGCCCAGAACTGAGTATCAGTTCAGCATGAATTAATTTCAACAAAAATGGAAACCCAACTTTAGTCTATATCTTTGGTTGTGAGCCCAGCCTTTAACAGCTGAGCCATCTTTCCAGCCCAGACCCAACTTTAGTTTAATGTGCTGCTCTGCTACTTACCGGGACTTATAATAAAACCAAAGTTGAGCATAGGACGTTACAAGGTAAATACGCTGTCCATCTCCTGCTTTGCACTCCAAAGCAAATACATGAACATTCTATATAAAATTTAAAATAATTAACAAAAAATTTACAACATGCAAATCTAAGTTCAACTGTAAGTAATAAAAATAATAAATGTTTAAAGATTTTGTCATTCAATGCGGCAAAATTTCAAATATGAACAATTAACTTAAAAATAAGACAGTCACCACACCCATGCTATCTCAAGTATATATATGTATGTATATGTATATATATGTGTGTATATATATATATATGTATGTTTTCCTTTCAGATTTATTTATTTCATTTGTGTATTTGATCTGCAAGTATGTATGTATGTATAGCATATGTGTGCCTGGTACCCAGAAAGGTCAGAAGAGGGCACTGGATTCCCCAGAACTGGAGATATGGATGATTGTAAGGCATCATGCAGATGCTGGGAATCAAACCTGAGTCTTCTGTGACAGATACAAGAGCTATTAACCCCTGAGCCATCTCTCCAGCCCCTAAAAACTGTTTTTAAAATATTTATTTTTTGGCTGGAGATATGGCTCAATGGCTAAAAGCACTGACTGATCTTTCCAGAGAATATAGGTTCAATTCCTGGCACTCACATGCAGCCCAGAACTGTCTGTACCTCCAGTCCCAGGAGGTCTAACTTCCATCTAGATGGAAGTAGCTGGTGAGCCTATTTTCATAAATGAGAAATCATATAAAAGACTCTGTTTCTCCACTCTATTAAAACTCTTTGGAGCTAGGGTTGTGGCTCAATGATGTAGCCCTTGCCTAGCATACGTGAGGACCTGCGTTCAAGTCCTGGAATAGAAAAAAAAGTCTTTCTGAAATAAACTTTTCACTGGTAACTGGCAAGCACATCCTTATTTAGTTTTGAAAAGAGCATGTTCAAAGGACTCTCAGCACCTTAATTCTTGATTCCTGAATTAGTTTACACAAAATGAGTAAGGTTTTTCTAATGTCCTCTATTTTGTTTGAATCCAAATAAGCATCTTGTAACTCAGAAAATAAGGTATTTCTCTCCAATATGAAGTACTTTGTATTTTTACATAGAACCAATGACCAGAATCACAGTATGGACTTATTTAAACATTTGTATTTTATTTATTTGTGTGTGGAGTGCTTGGGTGGGGCGGTGCACTTGACAGGGCATGCATGTGGAGCTGGTCAGTTCTCTCCTATCATGTGGTCTCAGGAATCCATTCAGGTCATCAGGCTTTGCAGGAGGTGCCTTCACCCACTGAGCCATTATATCCAAATTACATCCTATATATGCATCTTATCTTTTCATTTATTTATCTTTATACACCATGAAAGTGCAACTAGCAAATAATAGGCAATATATTGTCTACTGCTTAATTTATTTTAGTTTTGCTTTTGACTTCCTCAGTCTTTTTAAGGCTGGCACACATTAAGCACTTCCACTCACTTCCTTAATGTGTTGGGAATATGCTCATCTTCCTCCCGGCATATTTCATTTCAATGTTGTTACACATTCCACATTTTTAAAAACAACTGGGACAAGACATGCCATTCTTTTGGCTAAGAGATAGCTCAGTGGTTAAGAGCACTGTCTATATCTGCAGAGGACCCAGGTCCTGTTCTTAGCACCCACATGCTGTCTCACAGGCACCAGTAACTCCAGTTCCAGAGGATCTGACCCCCTCTTCCAAACTCCATGAACACTGCATGATATGACATTTATACACATAAAACTAAAAAATAGCATTCTTTTTCATTACTAAAATAAGTGATTAATGAATTCAAAGGGATATTTTTATAAGTCATGTGGTATCAAGATCACTGTTCTGTTTTCTTGGTAAAGTATCTGATTTGAAATGATAGCAAATAATTGTTTTCTTTTTGGTTTTTCAAGACAGGGTTTCTCTGAAGCTTTCGAGGCTGTCCTGGAACTCATTCTGTAGCCTAGGCTGGTCTCACACTCACAGAGATCTGACTGTCTCTGCCTCCTGAAGTGCTGGGATTAAAGGTGTGTACCACCAACACCTGGCCAAAAAAAAATTTTTTAAACCTTAAGTGTTACTTAAAATTTCTTAAAAAATAAAGCAATCACCTCTTTACAGCTTTTAACAAAATCAAAAGCTTGATTCTGACGATAAAATAGCTTCCAAACGGAGGGTGGTTCTTCTGGCTTGGACAGTCTTGGTCTATACACAGAGGACAATGGCTTCCTCTCATAGTGAGATGCTCGATCTTCTATTTGCTTCAAGGTTGCTTCCCATTTCCTCATCATTGGTTCAGAAGTAGAGAGAATAAATCCAACCTCAGAAGCTTTTCTGTCAATTCCTACTAAACAAACAAGAATAAACCCAACCTCAGAAGCCTTTCTATCAATTACTACTAAATAAACAAAAATGTTAATTTCTTTGTTTAGAATACATTCTGCCTGGTATAATCTCAGATCTGGTTCCCTAACATATATGTACTCATTTGCTTTACATTTTTTTTCTTTGCACAAAGTCTTACCATAGAACAGGAGTAGAGCTGGCCATCACAGATCCTTAGAGCCTACCTCTTCCCTCTACTAGTCTTGTAACCATGGAGAATTTAATGAAACTCCACAAAATCTTGGTTTAATCAATTGCAAAACTGGAATCAATAGAATCTTGAATGATCTATGCTGTACCTTGAGGCTAACTGTGATAAGAAAAATGTCTTATGAATTATAAAATCTGTGTGTGAATGCTTTCAGTACCATTATAACTTTCATCACAGCCAACCTCTTGCTTAGCTGGTGCTTACTATTTTGGACCCTGCTCTTGCAAGCACACTAAACTTAGCTTTCTGTTCTCCCAATACAACAGAGGGATGGCAATTCTGCTCTAAGCATAGCTTCATTTGTATGTCATTATAAAATCTATATTTTGCTACTTCTCCAGCAGGAGATGCCATCAAAGCTCAATCACACACTGACTCTGGGCTTGGCTGTGTGACTTGATTGAGCCAAGGTCACACTGACAAATGTAAAACCAGGTGCTTCTGTATCAGACTTGGCTACCTTATTCTCCTGCCCTGAGACCACATCGTCATAAATCTAGCAAGGGGAAGGGGACCATCGTTCTTCTACATAACTCCACATCAGAGGGTGAGGGCCACATGAACAAGGTATCCCAGCTGAAGCTAATCAGATAAGAGTTAGGACATTTCAGATCATACAACATTAAAACTGAATGAATTCAGGGAAGAATGCAGAACTGCCTAGCTTTAACCCAAAACCCACTTTAAAAAAAAAAATTGTTGGATTTTTTTTTTTTGAACTAGTAAGTTTCATGCTGGTTTTTTACACAAGATTAGATAAATTGAGATTCTTTGTCAATAACATCTGTACTATTATTTACTCATACTGAAAACAAATATATTAGTTTTTAAGTGAAACAGCAAAATATACTGAAACATTTAGGGGCAAATTATTATTTACCTATGGCAATGCCTTTGTCTCCAATTTTAGCAGAAATCTTTGCAGTGACACAATCCCATTAGCAAATGACATAGCTCCTAAAAAGAAATACAAAATTGTCCTTAAGAAATTGAGAAGATTCCCCAAATTCAGTTTAATTTGATTCATATGTAGATAAAAATCTGTTATATTTCAAAAAACCTAATTGATTTTATTCTGTGCAACTTAATATTGTCCTCAAAACAACAATGCAATCATATCTGAATCATAGATTCAAAAAAAAAGCTAAGAATGGCAATATACATGTTCATATTTAGTGAAACTAAAATCTCTCTCTCTCTCTCTCTCTCACACACACACACACACACACACACACACACACACTAAACAACCTGGTATGACTGTGGGAATATGCTCTTCATGAAAGTCTTGGAGCTGAAAAACCCGCTGAAGATTCACTGCTGAAGAAACAACAGAGGGAGAGAAAGCATCTACTATGTCCCTGAATTGTTCTCACAGCTAGACATGTATGACAGCTGGAGCATCAGAGAACAACTGGGGCTTGAACTATTTGAGGGTTGAATGACAAAAACAAAGAAAATGGAGAAGGAGACAACATCTGGCCTTCTGGTTTGGGACTATCATATTCCCCATCCTGACCCTCTGGGAGAATATGACCCCATATTAGAAATACTTTCAATTCCTGATGTGGGAAGAGTACTATTGTTCTTTTAAATAATTTTATGCCAAAGCTCCTTTCCACTCAGAGACTATTTTTGTTAACAGACTACAAGTTCCAAAGGAAAACACTTGTACTAGTTTAAGAACACAGGCTTAAAGAGCTCTATTGCTCATTTCTGTACCAAAACAGTATTTAACCATGTTTGCTACAGCCTTATAGTTATAAGTTGGAGTTAGAAAACAGGATTAGTCATTTTACAGTAATTAGTGTGAGCAGGGGAAAGCAGGATTCAAGTGGAAAGTTGACCAAGTTCCCTAGGTTTACTAGACTTGTCTATTAGGGATTGTGGGTGGCCTGGCTCCCAAGAACAACTTGATCAGGGTGGGGATGGGGTGGAAAGTAATAGACACCTTTTACTCCCACTAACAGTCAATACTGTCAACCTCACGGGATTTCTCTGTGCCCACATTTGTGAAGAACACTTCTCAGGGTGTCTGTGAGGTCACCTTTGAAGATACTCAGGTCATGTGGACTCTAACCTTTCATTAACGAATTTCTTGATGGGTTCATGATATGACGGTAGTATTGGGGGATGGCAAAAAGGAGAAAGTGGGACCTAGTTTGAGGAAACACTGCTTTCTGGCTGTCATGATGCAAGCTGCTGTTCCACCAGGCCCTCCCAGCCAAGATGGACTGACAACTTTAAAGCACAAATAAATGTTTCTCCGTTAAGTCACTCTGCCAGGCATCTGTCATGGCAATGAGAAGTCTGACTAACACAGGGATACCTGAAGCTTCTTTTAGCCACATTCTTGGTTTCTGTCTTCCTTTCCTTTTTTGAAATGGGCTATTCTCATGGTTGCTCCAGATGGCCTCAAACTGAAGATCCTCCTGCTCAGCCTCCCAAGTTCTGGTTATTATAGGCATGTGCCATTATATACACACTCCAGTTTCTCGTCTAAACATCAATCAACACCCCCCCCCAACTCCAACCTCTCCCTCTACTCTGAGATTAGATTAATCGGTATTGTATTTACTGGAGAGATTCTAGTACCAAACAAGGGCTGGAGAGATGTCTCAGTGGTTAAGAGCACTGATTGCTCTTCCAGGGGTCCTGAGTTCAATTCCCAGCACCCACATGTCCTCTTCTGTCCCACAGGCATACTTGCAGGCAGAACACTGTATATATAATAAATAAATCTCTAAAAAAAAAAAAAAAAAAAACCTAAAAAATACAGAACAATATTGTGTGTGTACATACAAATTCATGTGTACAGGTACACATGTGCATGAATGTGCTGGCCAAACAATGATGAATGTCTTCCTCAATCACTCTCCATCAGGGCCTTTCACCAAATCTAGAGCTCATCGATTAGGCTAGACTGGATGACCAGTGAGCTTCAAGGATCCCCCTGCCTGTACCTCCCTGGCATTTTACATGGGTGTTGGGATCTGAACTCATGTTTTCATGTTTGTACTTTACCGACTAAGCCATTCCCCCAGGGCCTTAACATTTTCTTAATATTATCTCAGTCATGAGCTCGTTTTAAATTTTATTTACGTATGTGTATTTGTGTGAATGTATGTCGTGTGTGTGTGTGTGTGTGTGTGTGTGTGTTCTTGGAGGCCAAAAGAGGGTGTTGGGTACCCTGGAGCTGGAGTTACAAGTGGCTTCAGCCATCTTGAGTTGGAAACTCAACTTAGATCTTCCGGAGGAGCAGCAAGTGTTCTTAATTACTCAGCCATTTCTCTAGTTCTTTTTTTTTTTTTTCCAGGACAGAGTTTCTTGTAGCTTTGGAGCCTGTCCTGGAACTCACTCAGTATATCAGGCTGGCCTGGAACCAAAGATCTGTCTGTCTCTGCCTCCCAAGAGCTGGGATTAAATTAAAGGTGTGCTCTTCTTTTATGTACTCTATAATGCCTCTCTACAATATCTCCTACTACTCAAGTATTCACTTTTAAATAGTCATCTTAAAATATGCTATTAAAATTCACTTACAAACATTACTACGTAAGCTTACTTTCTAGGACATATAACTTGAGAAATTAAACATAAACGACTGGATTTCCTCTCTCCTCACTTGTTATTCTACCTATGAACAGAAGTTATATTTAAATGCCCCCCGAAAAAAAGGGAGAGAAGGGAAGAGAAAGCCTACAGTACGCCGTTCCATATCTTGCTTCCTTTCCTCAGCACTCATCTCCCACCCAAACAGCACAACTCCACCAGACTAATGGATGACACCACACCAATTTTACAATTTCTCAGGGGACTACTTATTAATGGTTCACAGTATCTTTTACTACTACGCCTCTAGTTCAGTTTTCTCACCAAATGGAAGGCAATGTCCACTGGGAGCTCCTTGACTCCTTCGGAAGCCCTCTTCAGCTGTTCCCTCATTGAAAGCACTGCTTTACTTTTCCTGAGTTCTTCCTCTCTCAGGAGGCCCAGAACACCTTCTGCTCCCTATAAAGAGAAATTAAGGGCTCAGGAGAATGCCATCACCTCCAGCTGTTTTGATTTAAAAAGCTACTCTAGATGAAGCCGACATACCTTGGTCAGAAAATTGCTGCCAAGCTTTATCTAAAAGCATCATTTTGTTTAGCACCTTTAGGAAGGGGTGAGCATTCACAAGACCAAAATTTCTCAATTAGCTCCTTTCTTGCGAACCACAGCCTCACCCCCCCTCCCCCAAGCATCGAAGGGTCGCTAGGGTTGAATGCATCCTTTGCATAGTTCATCCCACTAGAAAATGGCTGATCCTCACTCACTTTGGGAGAGATGATAGCTCAGTTTGTTTCTAGAATCTGCAATTTAACTACTGTGGCTCTGCTCTTCGCAGGAGCAAACCACTTAACCTTTTTAAGCCTCTGGTGGAACTGGGTAAAATAAGAAACGTATGATGGACGTGCAGGAGCACGGACTCTGCTCTCAACAAATGGTAAACATCTGTGTAGGTACGCATACTGTGTAGGTACGCAACCAGGCAAGAGCTGCTTTCGTGGGGTAAATTTGGTGTCAAGAGTATCCCGAGTCCCTGAAATCGGGGGCCAGGTGCTGGGCTCCTGTTTTGGTGTGTTATACAAAAGCCTCCTTCGCTGCATCCGGGTCTGAAATCGGATCTGATACAGTAGGTAGCTGGGACTTAGGGACAGAGATGAACGGAAGTGAAGGCCTCGGTTTGAGAGGAAGTCGGGATTGCGAGCGAGCGGTGGGTGCAGCCCTGTTTTTTTCCTTGTCTGGGCTCTGACTGGCAGCAGTGTCACCCGAACGCCCACCCTTGTGCCCCCGGAATCAGGCGCGGCCTAAAGGCGACTCTAAATTTACCTCAGGTGAAGCACCTCGGCCGGAGGCCGCAGCCTGTGGAAGCCGCAGGTGGCGGGAAACGGAGCTTCAAACCCCCGCACGGGGGCGGGGCCGGCGGGCGGGGCTTGCGAGAGGACGGGGCTGCGGCGGGCGGGCTCCAGGGGGCGGCTAAGACTAGGAGGGGCGGGGCGTAAGAGAGGTGGGGCGTGGGCGGAGCCAGGGCAATTGGTTAGGCTGCGGTTGCAGTGCAGAAGCTGGTGAGATCGAAGCCGACTGGCCTGCTTCGTGGGTCTTTGAACCGCTGGGTGAGTGCTGGCTGCACCCGTCCTTTCCCGGCCTTAGGCTGCGGTCCTTAGCCTGCCGGATCAGCAGCTGCTTCGAGGAGGTGGGGGAAACGGGCGATCTGGGCGGAGGATCCTTTGTGTTGCCTTATGGCTTGCTTGCTCAGGCATGCACTGAAGGCTGAGAAGCTAGAGACCCCGCTGGGGGCCGGATCCCGAGCTGGGAGCCCAGACCCGGGAGGCCGCACCAGGGTCCCTGAGCCCGGGTGAACCAAGGTAGGACTCAGACCCCCGAGTCTGGAGCACCGGCCGCGCCGAGGAGTAAAAGGCGGAGCTGGAGGATCAAGAGATCGCCCGGAGCATAGAGCTTCTGGGGCCGGAGAGGGCCAGGAAGGGGGTGAGCATGGAGGCGGAATGGCGGGAGGTGGTGGGATCCTGGAGCCCCAGGCCGAGGCGTGGGCCCGAGAGCAAAGGGAAATTCTGCCCTGGGGCCAGGAGACCAGCCTGATGTTGACCTCGAGGCTTGCTCTCAGAGACCTAGCCTCTCTACTACTGGAGTGTTTAGTTTCTACCTCTTGTTTTCTCCAGTTCACTGTTGTTTTGGTTCTTGCAGAGAGCTGATTTTAAGCATTGCTCCCCAACTCTGTTTCTCTACCCGAAGCCTTTTGTGATTATTCCTTTGTTGGTCAGACTGCGTTGACATCCCTTGGGTCACGCTCAGTTATTGTCCCTTCCCTCACACGTATTATTGTTCTACTCTGAAGCCCGACTTGAGTAGCTGAGTCTTTGCCCCATTCTCAGTTGAGTCACTCAGGAAACGTCCTCCTCGGGTCTTGTCACAGGTCTTCCCCCACCCCCCTTTTCGCTGTTAGTCAATGAGCCTTGTAGTCCTGTGTCTGCCAGATTTGTACCTAGCTCTTCTGAATACAAGTTCCTACTTAGGTTTCAGTTCTAAGCAACAAACTGTAAGTGAACAAACACCACTAGGGACTGACTTTAGCATTAGCATGGTGCCCCTCCTTACTGTTTTGTTTTGTTTTTTTCACAAGTGAATGCTCATCCATTTGTTTGATTACAATAAAATGGTTAATTAAAATGTGGATTAAGAGAGATGGTAGGTATTGAAATGTGGAGTCATTGTGAAAGAGCAGAAGGAGATGGATGCTAGGCTGGGGATTTGGCTAACCTCTGGGAAGCTACTTCCAATGTGTTGTGGTGGCCATGGCATGAGCTTAAATCATCCCTGCCACAACCCAGTGTTTAAACTTTGGTTTTGGTTTGTTGTCCAGCAGAATAAGGCTTTTGGAAAGCAAGAATGTGTTTTAATGAGTTTATTGAAATGTAGCAATAACAGACCTGGTACAAAGTAACATAAGTGAAATACTGCACCTAATTGAATGAGATTGCTTTTGTCATCCTGGAGAAGGGTCTTGCCTCTTGCCATCTTAAGACCCTCTATCTCTATCTGATACAACAGCCATCTTTAGACCCTCTATCTCTATCTGATACAGCTGTCATCTTAAGACCCTCTATCTCTATCTGATACAGCAGTCATCTTAAGACCCTCTATCTCTGTCTGATACAGCAGTCATCTTAAGGCCCTCTATCTCTATCTGATACAGCAGCCATCTTTAGACCCTCTATCTCTATCTGATACAGCCATCATCTTAAGACCCTCTATCTCTATCTGATACAGCAGTCATCTTAAGACCCTCTATCTCTGTCTGATACAGCAGTCATCTTAAGACCCTCTATCTCTATCTGATACAGCAGTCATCTTAAGACCCTCTATCTCTATCTGATACAGCCGTCATCTTAAGACCCTCTATCTCTATCTGATACAGCAGTCATCTTAAGACCCTCTATCTCTGTCTGATACAGCAGTCATCTTAAGACCCTCTATCTCTATCTGATACAGCAGTCATCTTAAGACCCTCTATCTCTGTCTGATACAGCAGTCATCTTAAGACCCTCTATCTCTATCTGATACAGCAGTCATCTTAAGACCCTCTATCTCTATCTGATATAGCAGTTACTGTGCCACCAATGCTTCACTCTCAAACCAACCTACACATTCACCTCATCCCCTTTCTAACGTCACAACACAACCATTATTTTCCTCAGAGACCTTGCATTAGTCATGGTCTTCGAGTAAGAGAATGCTTTTAAGATCTACCCCAGTGACTGGGCTTTAAAAAAAAAAAAGATGCAGAAATCCTTACACCCTTAAGTACTTATGTATTCATTTAACAAATTTTAAAAAGGTACTGGAGAGGTAAGGACAACTTCTCAGTTGTCTGGCCATCTGAGGCCAGATCCTAAGGTGCTTACCAACTCATTCATAAATCAGGCAAAATCCATAATAGTTTTTGTTTGGGCCTTTTTGTTCTTTTCTTTTTCCAATGTTCCCTGTAGAGCTTCTTCATTCTGCTAAAAGCACAATAAGATCATCTAAGGAGGACTGACCATGGGCTAGCATCTACCCTGCTGTCATTTTTAAATACCAGTAAGCATGGATATAAGCTCTATAGGGGTAGGGCCAGCCTCTCCCTCTACTTCTTGCACTCAAGGTTCAGTGCGGTTTCTGCATACAGTCGATATAAAAGACACTCAGGACCTCCCATTCTATACTTTATTTCAATAACAACAAGATTGTTTTCAGACAGGCCAGAAATTCTTAACACATCCCTGAAATCATATGGGGTCTTAGAGGGCTTTACTGTTTCCTACTTTTGTCCCTCCAAAAGCTGTGATCTGATAGTAAGTGCCATATTTTTTCCGACTTGTGACACAAGGTCAGATGGGTTCAGCATACCAATCTGCCTCCCTGGTGTGTGGCCCATACCAGAAACAAGATCAAATATTCGTTCCTCTGATGAAGTTGAACTGTTATCCATATTTTCTTTCCCTTTGCAGCCTGCATCTTTTCACTTTCACTCTATTTTAAAACACTAAGAGACTGACTTTATAAGGCTCAATGGCAGCAACCAGTTCAGTGTATCCACAAAGGAACTGGGACCAGGTGGGACAGATTTGAAAAAAATAAAAGAACAAAAACCCACCGGTACACTACATATAAAATCTTTCTTAACCGGACTATTGTGAAACAGATACTTTCTGTTTCATTTACTTAATATGAAACTCCCAGTGCTTGTGAGGTTTTGTCCTTGCTGATAGATAGTAAATACCATCCTGATGTTTCTCTAATTATTCTGCACACATAGAGGTGGGCTTCCCAGGAGCCACACTATGGTGGCTTCACGTTCCTATTGACAGATAGGTAGGTAGACATATAGAAAACATTCTAATGACTTTCACTGAATGTTTAAGTAGATAGTTTACATTTATAAATAAGTCACCCAGTGGCATGAGAAACATCCTAATCATTACTCCTATTTTCTTCATTGCAGTAAGTGCACTATAGTTGACCTTCTGCATTTGTGGACTTTATCAACACACAGGATTATCAGACTAGAAATGGAATCTGTATTGAAATATACAGACTTTTTAATCATCCACTGAACAACACTGCATAAAAATTTTATGTTATACTAGGTATCATTGGTAATAAATAGTAGGGATGCAATGCTTAGCTTACCATTTTATACAAAGGCTTTGGACTTGGATCTGCTCTCTAAGGCAGGCTCTGGAACCAGTCATCCACCAATGCTGAGGAACAGTGATATATTTGATTTCAGTTTTTAATCAGTTTTTATATTGCCATATATGCTTTTAATCTCATTTAATCAGAGCACTTGGGCTTATGGGGTTTTGTTCCCTTTAAATTAACTGTAGTTTTGTCCCCTATATGGCATTGAGTGGGTTATAGACTGTAGAGTGGAGTTTGCTACCTGGACCTGGAGTTTTGGCTCTGTCACTTAAAAAGTGATTACCTTTCTAAGTTCCATTTAACTTAAATCTAAAATGGGACTGTTATGCCTCAGTGTTATTGGGAAGCCCAACTGAAAATACTTGCATACTTCTCAGATTAGCATATATGAACTGAAAGCGAGAGAAATTTGGCTACAACTGAAGTCTTTACTCCTAATTTTGAACATTCACATCTAAGGAGAAGATTCAGAAATGAAGTGTTGACTTTTGTGGGTCACTATGAGGTTTACAAAGCAGAGACTCTATTTGATGCTTCACCTCAAGAGATTGTTGTAGGTCAGCCACTGGAGCAGCTGATGATAAGGGACAAATTCTCTGATTAAGAATATCCAAAACTGAGTCTGGGGACATGGTTCAGAAGGGAAAGTGCCTACTGGCATTGGTACCCAAGTTCAGATCCCTAGCTCCCATGTAAAAACAAAGGATGGTGAGCTGTGGATGTGATCCTGCCAGAGATAGGTAAATCCCAGAAGCCACTGCCTTAGTCTAGCCAAAATAGAGAAGGCCAAGTTCAGTGAGAGATTTTAATTCAAAAACTTATTAGGTGGTAGGCAATAGAAGAAATACCAGAAGTCTACCTCTGGCCTCCCTGTGCACAGGTGTAGGCAAGCACACCCTCCCACTCATGTATATAACACACACCCACACACACCCTACCTCTAAAAGTGTTTTGTACTAATGTAACATCTCATTTCAAATCTCTACCATAGGTGGGCTTTCATCTATTTATTTTGTAATGGGTATTTGTCTTGTTTCAAGTTGTTATCGATACATCATACTTCACTGTCTAGTTTTTAATTTCAGACATAATTCTGTTCCTGTGCTTTAAATTCTGAAGATTACTTGTTCTGTCTTCCTCCACAGTTACAAGGGGAAACTGGCAAAGAGCCGTGTATATAGAATCAGGTTCCAGTTTCTCACTTC